GACCAGATCCACCCATGTTACATCAAGTCAACAGGGACCAGATTCATCCATGTTACATCAAGGCAACAGGAACCAGATCTACCCATGTTACATCAAGGCAACAGGGACACATTCAGGGACCAGATCCACCCATGTTACATCAAGGCAACAGGGACCAGATCCACCCATGTTACATCAAGTCAAGAGGGACCAGATTCATCCATGTTACATCAAGGCAACAGGGACCAGATCTACCCATGTTACATCAAGGCAACAGGGACACATTCAGGGACCAGATTTATCCATGTTACATCAAGACAACAGGGACTAGACCCACCCATGTTACATGAAGGCAACAGGGACACATTCAGGGACCAGATCCACCCATGTTACATCAAGGCAACAGGGACCAGATCCATCAATGTTACATCAAGGCAGCAGGGACACATTCAGGGACCAGATCCACCCATGTTACATCAAGTCAACAGGGACCAGATTCATCCATGTGACATCAAGGCAACAGGGACCAGACCCACCCATGTTACATCAAGGCAACAGGGACACATTCAGGGACCAGATCCACCCATGTTACATCAAGGCAACAGGGACCAGATCCAACAATGTTACATCAAGTCAACAGGGACCAGGTTCATCCATGTTACATCAAGGCAACAGGGACCATATCTACCCATGTTACATCAAGACGACAGGGACCAGATCTACCCATATTACATCAAGACAACAGGAACCAGATCTATCCATGTTACATCAAGACGACAGGGACACATTCAGGGACCAGATCTATCCATGTTACATCAAGACGACAGGGACCAGATCTACCCATGTTACATCAAGACAACAGGCACCAGATCTATCCATGTTACATCAAGACAATTAGGGACACATTCAAAGACCAGATCCATCTATTCCCGGTATCTATATTGCGTTGCACCATCTTTAAAGAGAATTCATATGAATTACAGTTGTGTTGCCAAATGAAGCTAGAGGTTCATCCTCCTGAGTAGCATACACCTTCTTTGTTTCTTCTGCATCTGTGAATCTCTTTAAACCCACGGAGGCATGTTTTGTGTGATAAAACAGATTTGGTTACCAAATAATCTCCCGCCAGGATGGAATTGCATCATTATGGATGCCACTTCAATTATTTTTCAGTTAGTTTTATCTTAAATCCTGCTTTTGCTCAACACAGATTAAGACTTTTTTGACACTTTCATTTCACCTAACTGTTCTTGCATGATGTACACATTTATACTCCAGCTATTTCAAAGTAAGCTTGTCTTACAAATATTATCAAGTAAGTCTGTGAAAAAAATAAAATACAACATTTACAGGTCACATGGGTAGTCTGCACTAGAATATCTGATGCAATTCTGATTACATTCTTACCTTGAACAAGAGTCCTGCTTCCCATCCCTATAGGAGCTGGAGGGATAGAGACATGTTCTACATTGTATCTCTTACTCACAGCATGTTTTCCTTTCTCTATGAAACTCTTATACATACATTGCTCATTCTATTTATCTAATCAGGCTGACGTGAAACAACTAAGAATATTTGATTCAACTGAAGAATTTTGCAAAAAATGTTTGTCTAATTATTACAACCTCACATGAAGTGGGAACAGTAAAAACCGTTAATACAAGTTAGGGCAACACAGAGATGTAGGCACAGAAAGAGGGTTTCCCTGTGTCTGGGGGGATTTCACAGTAATACAAGTTAGGGCAACACAGAGATGTAGGCACAGAAAGAGGGTTTCCCTGTGTCCGGGGGATTTCACAGTAATACAAGTTAGGGCAACACAGAGATGTAGGCACAGAAAGAGGGTTAGTAATACAAGGCAACACAGAGATGTAGGCACAGAAAGAGGGTTTCCCTGTGTCCGGGGGGATTTCACAGTAATACAAGTTAGGGCAACACAGAGATGTAGGCACAGAAAGAGGGTTTCCCTGTGTCCTGGGGATTTCACAGTAATACAAGTTAGGGCAACACAGAGATGTAGGCACAGAAAGAGGGTTTCCCTGTGTCTGGGGATTTCACAGTAATACAAGTTAGGGCAACACAGAGATGTAGGCACAGAAAGAGGGTTTCCCTGTGTCCGGGGGGATTTCACAGTAATACAAGTTAGGGCAACACAGAGATGTAGGCACAGAAAGAGGGTTTCCCTGTGTCCAGGGGGATTTCACAGTAATACAAGTTAGGACAACACAGAGATGTAGGCACAGAAAGAGGGTTTCCCTGTGTCTGGGGGATTTCACAGTAATACAAGTTAGGGCAACACAGAGATGTAGGCACAGAAAGAGGGTTTCCCTGTGTCCGGGGGGATTTCACAGTAATACAAGTTAGGGCAACACAGAGATGTAGGCACAGAAAGAGGGTTTCCCTGTGTCCAGGGGGATTTCACAGTAATACAAGTTAGGGGGATTTCAACACAGAGATGTAGGCACAGAAAGAGGGTTTCCCTGTGTCTGGGGGGATTTCACAGTAATACAAGTTAGGGCAACACAGAGATGTAGGCACAGAAAGAGGGTTTCCCTGTGTCCAGGGGGATTTCACAGTAATACAAGTTAGGGCAACACAGAGATGTAGGCACAGAAAGAGGGTTTCCCTGTGTCCAGGGGGATTTCACAGTAATACAAGTTAGGACAACACAGAGATGTAGGCACAGAAAGAGGGTTTCCCTGTGTCTGGGGGGATTTCACAGTAATACAAGTTAGGGCAACACAGAGATGTAGGCACAGAAAGAGGGTTTCCTGTGTCCAGGGGATTTCACAGTAATACAAGTTAGGGCAACACAGAGATGTAGGCACAGAAAGAGGGTTTCCCTGTGTCCAGGGGGATTTCACAGTAATACAAGTTAGGGCAACACAGAGATGTAGGCACAGAAAGAGGGTTTCCCTGTGTCCAGGGGGATTTCACAGTAATACAAGTTAGGACAACACAGAGATGTAGGCACAGAAAGAGGGTTTCCCTGTGTCCAGGGGATTTCACAGTAATACAAGTTAGGGCAACACAGAGATGTAGGCACAGAAAGAGGGTTTCCCTGTGTCTGGGGATTTCACAGTAATACAAGTTAGGGCAACACAGAGATGTAGGCACAGAAAGAGGGTTTCCCTGTGTCTGGGGGATTTCACAGTAATACAAGTTAGGGCAACACAGAGATGTAGGCACAGAAAGAGGGTTTCCCTGTGTCCATGGGGGATTTCACAGTAATACAAGTTAGGGCAACACAGAGATGTAGGCACAGAAAGAGGGTTTCCCTGTGTCTGGAGGATTTCACAGTAATACAAGTTAGGACAACACAGAGATGTAGGCACAGAAAGAGGGTTTCCCTGTGTCCAGGGGGATTTCACAGTAATACAAGTTAGGACAACACAGAGATGTAGGCACAGAAAGAGGGTTTCCCTGTGTCCGGGGGGATTTCACAGTAATACAAGTTAGGGCAACACAGAGATAGAGGGTTTCACAAGTCAACACCCACCTCACTACCCAACTCCATGACCTGACTGCAATTCTCTTGTGTTAACAATCATCTCGGTGGAAGTCGCAGTGGCTCAGCGGGTTAGGCAGCTGACTTTGTGTGCTGGTGATTAGGTGTTTGACTCTGAGGGTGTGGATGCGAATCCCGGATAGGACTCAACCAAAAAAGTACTAGAATCTGTACTTTACTAAGAAGTGTAATCCCAAATATAACATACGTTACATTTGACCACTTTCTAAATGGCATTGTGTAATCATCTCAGTACCCATCACAAATCTTTCCTGTAATTTGATTGAGTGCCAGTTAAATACACCAAGTCTCTCCCTGCGAGTAATGATGGTGTTATTTCAGCTGAATGTGCTGAGGACATGTGTCTTCCAGCAGCCTCGTCTCCGTGGGATGATGTACAACATAATTATTCAATACGACTCCCACTGGTTCTCTCTTCAGTCTGATTCATCAGCCAATCAACAGATTCCGTCATTAAATACCATTCCTCTCAGAAAACTGGCAGCCTATGAAACTTTACTGCCACGTCCATCCAACCATGATGGAAATACCATAAAAATCAAGAAAAATCCATAAACATGACTCAGGAAGTAACAAGTCTCATAAACACTAATTTGTATTCATTGAAAATCATAAAATATTCAACTGGTTATTTTTGTTGAAATCTGGGAGAACAAGTAACAAGGGAGCGATATTTTTTTATGCTGTTTTTTTGTATGCTGCAGAGTGACCTTTCATGTATTTAAATTGGTAACCTAAAGTTTCATCAATATCACAACCTATTTTGACTTGGACATTTGATGCAAGTCTTCTAGAAACATCACTGATACTGAATTCATTCTAGGCTACATAGTACTTCAGTAGGTCTGAGGTTCCTGGATGGAGACTGGTCACAAGATCACTGGGCATCACCAGGTCTGAGGTTCTGGGATGGAGACTGGTCACAAGATCACTGGGCATCACCAGGCCAGAGGTTCCTGGATGGAGACTGGTCACAAGATCACTGGGCATCACCAGGTCTGAGGTTCTGGGATGGAGACTGGTCACAAGATCACTGGGCATCACCAGGGCCAGAGGTTCCTGGATGGAGACTGGTCACAAGATCACTGGGCATGACCCGGTCCGAGGTTCTGGGATGGAGACTGGTCACAAGATCACTGGGCATCACCAGGTCTGAGGTTCCGGGATGGAGACTGGTCACAAGATCACTGGGCATCACCTGAGGCCAGAGGTTCCTGGATGGAGACTGGTCACAAGATCACTGGGCATCACCAGGTCTGAGGTTCTGGGATGGAAACTGGTCACAAGATCACTGGGCATCACCAGGTCTGAGGTTCCTGGATGGAGACTGGTCACAAGATCACTGGGCATGACCAGGTCCGAGGTTCCTGGATGGAGACTGGTCACAAGATCACTGGGCATCACCAGGTCTGAGGTTCCGGGATGGAGACTGGTCACAAGATCACTGGGCATCACCAGGCCAGAGGTTCCGGGATGGAGACTGGTCACAAGATCACTGGGCATAACCAGGTCTGAGGTCCGGATGGAGACTGGTCACAAGATCACTGGGCATCACCAGGTCTGAGGTTCCGGGATGGAAACTGGTCACAAGATCACTGGGCATCACCAGGTCTGAGGTTCCGGGATGGAGACTGGTCACAAGATCACTGGGCATCACCAGGTCCGAGGTTCCGGGATGGAGACTGGTCACAAGATCACTGGGCATCACCAGGTCTGAGGTTCCGGGATGGAGACTGGTCACAAGATCACTGGGCATCACCAGGCCTGAGGTTCCTGGATGGAGACTGGTCACAAGATCACTGGGCATCACCAGGTCTGAGGTTCCGGGATGGAGACTGGTCACAAGATCACTGGGCATCACCAGGCCAGAGGTTCCTGGATGGAGACTGGTCACAAGATCACTGGGCATCACTAGGCCTGAGGTTCCTGGATGGAGACTGGTCACAAGATCACTGGGCATCACTAGGCCTGAGGTTCCTGGATGGAGACTGGTCACAAGATCACTGGGCATCACCAGTACAGGGGTTAGTCCGGGGAGGTGTTCAAGTACTGGCTCTAAATATTTGTATAGTGACAATCTTTCAGCAAGTGAATCAGAGCAAGAACACCTCTTTCATGCAAGCCCACAAAGAATGTCGTCCACAAGGACAACAGACTGGACAATAACAACTACATCATGAGCATGTGTTAATAAACCACTATGAAACCGTCACAGTGAGCGTACCCTGCCCCAGTGGAAGCACCCATCATAAACACATGCAAAGTCAAGTCAATTGTTCAACAACAAATGTGAAAATAGTGAATAGCCCTGGATGTCATGTTTTTACTATTGTGTGAAATTCAGAAATGTCCTCCACATATCTACCATGAAAGTTTTTGAAAATTTTACTCACACTATAAATGTCATAAACTGATCAAACCACTCCCACTCTGTTGTGCAGATACAAACACCATGTTGCTGCTGAAACACCCTACCAGCCAAATAACAGTCAGGGTCTTACATCCACTCACAAACATATGATAGGGGGCCAGGGCACCCCCAGTTATTAGTTTTAAACTGGGTCCTTGCAGGCAATACGAGGGTCCTGTGAAGTAACGGTGTAGACAACTGTATGTTGTGATCATTTCTTTAGAGCCGGGAATGGATCATTGACCATATGAATTGATGGATGAAATGATGCAAGTAACAGCTCTTAAAGAAACAACCAAACTGTCAGTAAAGTCACAGATGTGTTGTGGGTTACAATGTTAGTAAAGTCATAGATGTGTTGTGGGTTACAATGTTAGTAAAGTCATAGATGTGTTGTGGGTTACAATGTTAGTAAAGTCACAGATGTGTTGTGGGTTACAATGTTAGTAAAGTCACACATGTGTTGTGGGTTACAATGTTAGTAAAGTCACACATGTGTTGTGGGTTACAATGTTAGTAAAGTCACACATGTGTTGTGGGTTACAATGTTAGTAAAGTCACAGATGTGTTGTGGGTTACAATGTTAGTAAAGTCATAGATGTGTTGTGGGATACAATGTTAGTAAAGTCACAGATGTGTTGTGGGTTACAATGAATGATCTTGTGTGTCCGTCTGGACGAAGCGAATGTTTCATATATCTTGTGCGCACTGGAGTTCTGGAAAATTGTTGTATTGTGCAAATGATTCTTACAATCCTGGATCCATGCACTTGCTATGTTCTTGTAACCCATACCCCAGTGCAATGACCTGCCCATACTTAGCTCTTCTACAGAAACATTCTTTATACATCTTATCGTAAGTTATTGATCATTACAGTATTGGGGGATGCAGGTTTTGTGTCCCAGGGTCCGTGTATTACAGGCAGGTCCAATAAAATGTAATGATCACTGCGTAAACTATCATTTGAAGGATGTAAGGTTTTCTCTCCTTATTCAGCAGCCATGAATTTGTCACACAATAATTACAGACACTTTTACAGACTGCAGGTGCCACTAACACTGATTCATGAACAGTTTTCTCTCATCATAAAAGTAACACAGAATAGTTGTGGCCATGTGGACTGACCTCCACCAGCAGGTTCCCCCTATGACAGAGGAGTGATTTACACAGAAGGACTATCTCCCTCATGCAGCAATTACAAGCTGTTATTGATCTGGCTAAAGTAGCTGTGAGTTGAAATTAGGACAAATTCCGCCCCTAGTGATTAATCTGCTATTATTATCCCACACATTCCCAGCAGACACAGATCATCACCAAGCAGGGTTGGATACATCCAGAATTCCAACATTTAATCTTACTATGAGACTGATAAATTGAGATTTAGATCAAACTATGTCATTTTTTCTCTCGATATTTGTTAGGTGACAATAAGGCAGGATAGAGCAATTATTGCCTCAGTACTGTGGAGACAGCAGTTCCTTGATGTCTAATCAAGAAGACACAACAGGGAATTCTGACAACACCTAAACCTAATCTGGTAGTCATGAATCAAGGCAAACCGTTTCAAGACTTCTGCAAAATGAAAACCATCAAATATGTGGGGCAGGCTTTTCTCTAGACTTTTTGTCTACGCAGAAGTTAGTTGCAGTTTGGAGACCTGGCAGAATAACTGTATTACTGAAACCTCCCACCAGCATACCTCAGCAAAAGATGAAAGATAACTGTGACACTCATCCATACAGATCATGACAAACACGACTTTACTGTATATTTACAGCTATCAACCAACTGACATGATTCATGATGTCTTGGCATGACAGTGCTCACTACACACATAGGCAGTCATTGCAAAGGTCTTCTCTTGTTACTTCAGATGTTGACAATATAGGAAACACTCCTCTCTATTAAATCTATAGGTGTTTACTGTTGCTGTGTCAAGGAAACAATCAAGTGAATTTGCCAATTACAGATTACAGTTGCAAGGATGACCACTGATCAATGTCTTGAAGGAGTGATGGTCACACAGTCACACACTGTACCAAACTAAGAACAACAGGCAAACAGTCACACACTGTACCCCTTCAGGGCCAGACACAGTCACACACTGTACCCCTTCAGGGACAGACACAGTCACACACTGTACCCCTTCAGGGACAGACACAGTCACACACTGTACCCCTTCAGGGACAGACACAGTCACACACTGTACCCCTTCAGGGCCAGACACAGTACCCCCTTCGGGACAGACAAGAACAACGGACCCACAATCAAATAAAATAACCATCAGAGAATGAAGGACACAAAGTCACACACTGTCACCCATCCAGGGAACACACAGTCACACACTGTCACACACTGTACACAGTATTCCCATCCAGGAACAACAAAGTCACACACTGTATCCATACACAATGTCACACAGTATTCCCATCCAGGAACAACAAAGTCACACACTGTATCCATACACAATGTCACACAGTGTTCCCATCCAGGAACAACAAAGTCACACACTGTATCCATCCAGGAACAACAAAGTCACACACTGTACCCATACACAATGTCACACAGTGTTCCTGTAGCGGCCATAACATTTCCGAGTCCCGTGCTGGGATTCGAACCACGGACCTTCTAATCCGAAGTCGGACGCCTTGTCCACATGACCAAAGAGGTTAACCCCGTCAGCAAGCTGACAAGGTAAGGATGTCATCTGTGGGATGACTCCACGCCCTGCTACATTCCCATCCAGGAACAACATGCAGTCACACACTGTACCCATCCAGGAACAACATGCAGTCACACACTGTACCCATCCAGGAACAACATGCAGTCACACACTGTACCCATCCAGGAACAACATGCAGTCACACACTGTACCCATCCAGGAACAACATGCAGTCACACACTGTACCCATCCAGGAACAACAACACACTGTACCCATCCAGGAACAACATAGTCACACACTGTACCCATCCACACACAGTGTACCCATCCAGGAACAACACAGTCACACACTGTACCCATCCAGGAACAACATGCAGTCACACACTGTACCCATCCAGGAACAACACAGTCACACACTGTACCCATCCAGGAACAACACAGTCACACACTGTACCCATCCAGGAAGAACACAGTCACACACTGTACCCATCCAGGAAGGACACACAGTCACACACTGTACCAATACAGGAACAACACAGTCACACACTGTACCCATCCAGGAAGGACACACAGTCACACACAGTCACACACTGTACCCATCCAGGAACACCCATCCAGGAACAACACACAGTGTACCCATCCAGGAACAACACAGTCACACACTGTACCAACATCCAGGAAGGACACACAGTCACACACTGTACCAGGATACAGGAACAACATGCAGGAACACACACACACTGTACCCATCCAGGAACAACACAGTCACACACTGTACCCATACAGGAAGGAACATTATCACACACTGTAAACATGCAGTCACACACTGTACCCATCCAGGAACAACATAGTCACACACTGTACCCATCAGGAAGGACACACTGTACCAATACCAGGAACAACACAGTCACACACTGTACCCATCCAGGACGGATGTCACATCATATCTGTACCCATCCACACTGTACCCATCCAGGAACAACACAGTCACACACTGTACCCATCCAGGACGGGATGTCACATTATCATACACTGTACATACACTGTACCAATACAGGAACAACACAGTCACACACTGTACCCATCCAGGACGGATGTCACATTATCATACACTGTACCCATACAGGAAGGAAACACAGACACAGTCCCATGTTGTGCCCACCCATGAAAGACGACATCGGCATGCATGTTTTTCATCTACAGATGAGGGAGCAGACAGCTCTTGCTTTCAGCTTGTGCCAATAGACCCTCATTTTCAATCTTTCCTGAAAAGTGACAATTAAGAAACAATGTGGCCATGCAGGTCCCCAGTTTCTGCAGACCTGCCCCATAGATAATACCATGAGGTGACGCAGATTGATGCACTGCACAGCAAGCTGCTGTTGTCATGAATGGTTTTCATTTCAAAATATCCTTTTTCTTTCAACAGGAAGCTACTTATCACATACCATCATTAGCTAAAAATGATAAATACGCTAAGCCCATGCTTGAAGGAATGTCCTGGAATGTTGTTTTTCTGATATGTCAATATTTAGAAAGTTTGAGGTGCAACCGAGTGAGCACGACTGTATCATCTGGAGAATGTGTGTTTAAACAGCAGGTACAAACATGGCCGACTGGTTGGAGTAGAATCAATAACTGAAAGCAACAACACTTCAAACATATATTCTGACAATTTAATTCAAGATATATAATGGAATGTGTCTGCTTGGAGTAAAACTGTCAAGTGTATATATGAGTTTTCTTAACACTAAACGAGGGGAGCTGCAATATATAGCCTTCAGAAGGAAGGTAAACTACTACTGATGACAACCTCAATCATGAATGAATTTATTCCACAATAAATATGAATAGGACAGAACTTTTCTCCCCAATAGGATCTAAGTGAATGGCTCATACTCACAGTCCGAGTCATAGTAACATTTGAATTGACCTAAGACACCATTGTCCCCAAAGCCCTGAAGTGAAAGCAAGGCACAACATATGTTTGAGCACAAGTTTAGTGTTTTTCATTCTTTTGGAAACGTGCTAAAGGGTGTACAATGTCAAAGGGAGGACTATTTCACAGAATGGACTATTTCACAAAATGGACTATGTCAAGGGGTGCACTATGTCAAAGGGTGGACTATTTCACAGAATGGACTATGTCAAGGGGTCGACTATTTCACAGAATGGACTATGTCAAAGGGTGGACTATGTCAAAGGGTGCACTATGTCAAAGGGTGGACTATTTCACAGAATGGACTATGTCAAGGGGTGCACTATGTCAAAGGGTGGACTATTTCACAGAATGGACTATGTCAAAGGGTGCACTATGTCAAAGGGTGGACTATTTCACAGAATGGACTATGTCAAGGGGTGCACTATGTTAAAGGGTGGACTATTTCACAGAATGGACTATGTCAAGGGGTGCACTATGTCAAAGGGTGGACTATTTCACAGAATGGACTATGTCAAGGGGTGGACTATTTCACAGAATGGACTATGTCAAAGGGTGGACTATGTCAAGGGGTGCACTATGTCAAAGGGTGGACTATTTCACAGAATGGACTATGTCAAGGGGTCGACTATTTCACAGAATGGACTATGTCAAAGGGTGGACTATTTCACAGAATGGACTATGTCAAAGGGTGGACTATTTCACAGAATGGACTATGTCAAGGGGTGCACCATGTCAAAGGGTGGACTATTTCACAGAATAGACTATTTCATAGAATGGACTATTTCACAGAATGGACTTTGTCAAGGGCTGCACTTTGTCAAAAGGTGGACTATTTCACAGAATGGACTATGTCAAGGGGTGCACTATTTCAAAGGGTGGACTATTTCACAGAATGGACTATTTCACAGAATGGACTATGTCAAGGGGTGCACTATTTCAAAGGGTGGACTATATCACAGAATGGACTATGTCAAGGGGTGCACTATTTCAAAGGGTGGACTATTTCACAGAATGGACTATGTCAAGGGGTGCACCATGTCAAAGGGTGGACTATTTCACAGAATGGACTATTTCATAGAATGGACTATTTCACAGAATGGACTTTGTCAAGGGGCTGCACTATGTCAAAAGGTGGACTATTTCACAGAATGGACTATGTCAAGGGGTGCACTATTTCAAAGGGTGGACTATTTCACAGAATGGACTATGTCAAGGGGTGCACTATTTCAAAGGGTGGACTATATCACAGAATGGACTATGTCAAGGGGTGCACTATTTCAAAGGGTGGACTATTTCACAGAATGGACTATGTCAAGGGGTGCACTATGTCAAAGGGTGCACTATGTCAAAGGGTGGACTGTTAAACAACACAATTATATATTATAGATTATACAATGTTCACTTTCAGCAGTACAGAGACTGTGGTTATAGACAACATACCTACTTACTTCAAACAGCAGGGAGACAAGGATGTCGCGATACAATACATATCTTCATACTGAGATCACGATATGATACATATGTGATACTGTTTTTCCAACAATTTGCACAAAACGTGCAGCCATTACTTTGATAGCAAGTTGATACCATAGCTCACCAGTCCCCAAACACCTGTTAACAGTTAATCTAAGTCACATCTTTTATAGTTAGAGATTACTAGAGAAAGGACAACTGACCACCAGCCAAGTACCTAGCAACAGAGACCAATGAGATGGTACATCAAACTCATCAATCGTATAAACTCAACTCTAATCACAACCAACCACTCTGTACATCAACCTCCTCTGCTGAAATCACTAATCAGATATCCAATGTACATCAACCTTGTATATATACTCACTCAATTGTATATATACTCACTATGCAGCAATGTATATATTCTCCTTGTTTCAACTCTTTGTATCACTTGCTTGATAACTGTGTCAGTAAGTACCTACACCGAAATGTTGCACTCATTGCAATAAAGTTGACTATCCATAGAACTTGGTTTTCCTGCATCTTGACAACTTGTAAAATGCCTCTCAAAGGACAACAGACATACTCACTTCTAACAGTATGGAGACTGCAGTGTCACTAAACCAGGGATAAAACAAAAGCATATGTAATCGGAGGTAAATGTCCTAATTGTTCGGTACAATTAGCAAACACAGCCACATAATTGTCCAAATGAGTCTAATTATTTGGCCACTTAAAACATAAACAATGATAAAGAGTTCTGTTATTGTTGAACAGCTGACTTATCTGCCGATAAAGGATCCATGTTATCACAAACTAAATTGTGTGGTAAAAAGTGGCAAAATGTAACATAAGTTAGAATGTGTAATCCCAAATATAACATATGCTAGAATGTGTAATCCCAAATATAACATATGCTAGAATGTGTAATCCCAAATATAACATATGCTAGAATGTGTAATCCCAAATATAACATGTTAGAATGTGTAATCCCAAATATAACATATGCTAGAATGTGTAATCCCAAATATGACATATGTTAGAATGTGTAATCCCAAACATAACATGTTAGAATGTGTAATCCCAAATATGACATAAGTTAGAATGTGTGATCCCAAATATAGCATAAGTTATACCGTGAAGCTGTCTCATACAAAGATGTCATCATTGTCAACACACACGTGTATGCACACACATGCATACAGTCACATGAACACGTTTCCATTGTTTATAATCACTGTAGAAAAGTCTATATTGAAAATACATATTTCTGAAACATTAAAACACACACTAAAGTTACATCAATATTCCAGAAGAAACACTTAATACAAGTTCAACTCACTTTGTCAAGTTCCAAGCAGGAATTCAACACAAGTTACTGAACTAGGAGCTGGACCACAGTGATCACCTGACACAGGAAAGGTTTACTTCTATTTGCCATGTGTCAGCCCCACGAGCCACAATACCAGTCGTAACTGCAAACATATGCTAAAAACAGTTCCACTGACTTGCCGAACACGGAAATAACTAGAATCCTTTTAAAGCAAGCTTAACTCCATGAGGACCATATCTGGAACATATTTAAGTAGGCCTGGGTTTTGTGTGGGGACAATAGTTTAAAGTCATGTGTTTGGTATAAATCTTATGCATTATGTGGAAGAGTTAACTGAGGTTGAGAGGTTTGTGAAATGCTTGACATGGGTTGTGAGGAATCTGGCAGGGCCATGTGTTTACAGTGACAACGCATATTTCCACACCTGGATGTGACAGGTACAGTGTTGTGATAGAGTCTGCACCTTACAGAGGTAGGTATTGACCAGCACTGTCAGCTAGTCAGGAACACTCACTTTTCATTAGCATAAAATAACTGTATAATCTTCCTCACCCAGTACGGGAATGCACCTATTGTAGACGATGAGGAAGGAATAATCAGGTACAAACATACAAATGAATTCTGACTCAAAATGTGGATTTTCACAATGAGGGATAGATCACTGACCAAAATCAGATGGCAGCCATATGTGAGTTCTCATCAAATCTCTTAAACAACCTTGTACTAAGTTCAAGTCTCTGGCCCTTCATATTTTTGAGAAGAGGACCAAATTTCTTTAATCAAAGATGGTCAACTGGCAGCCATATTGATGTTCCAATTGTTGATGCCTTGAACAAAGCCGACCATTATAGTAGCCTGTATCCACACAATTCAGCTGAATCCATCCAGCTATTTCAGCGAAGAGTTTGACTAACGGGCAACTTTCAGCTGCATAAGCTCACATGGTCCTTCATGTGGACAATACAGGAATACACCTTGGGTTTCAGAAATAGAATTATCAATGAAAAAGAAGGGGGACAACTTTTTAAAAAACCCTGGTACATTCACCTAGCCTGGAGACTGATTTGTCTAGACACATTTACACGCCTGCATGTATGTTTCTTTTTTAACGCCACACTCTGCCAAAATCACATTGTACGACGGCAGCCCGCAACTAAACAGGTCTGGACCAGACAATGCAGTGATAGACATCATGAGCATCAATCTATGCAACTGGGATATGACAACAAGCAACCAAGTCAACAGACCTGACCACCTGGTCCTATAGTCCCCACTTACAACAAGCAAGGCTTGGTGAAGACCACGTGTAATCCAGATGTTTACTGGGCTATAGCTCACAACTGTGCTGGAGTCCTGAGGCTTGACTTCAAACATATTTCCATATCTTTAACATTCTTTACAATTTTGCTAGTAATCAGAAGCTACAAAGTGGGATAAAATCTTTCAAAATTCTAAATCTCAAGAAATTTAAAATGAAAAAAAGTAGCTAAACTTAAACATTGTTTTAGGATATTTTCTGTGTCTGATAACGTTAGACCAAAATGTCAGTACTACACACACAAAGTGCAGGGGATATTCAGTTAGAAAATTCATGCCGCTGGATTAGGTAATAAGGGGACCATTTAATAATATTCGATAATAACAAAGTAGGCCTAGCAGACGATGGTGTATCAGTGTGTGGCCTCGTAGTCGTATGTTAGTTTGTTATGATAATAGAATGTTATACACACTCATACCTGTTAATAACTATATCATAAACGTTGTATCTGTTACATTCTACTACTAAAAAAACCCGATAAACACTGTGTACCAAATTGTCCGACTCTCGTCACCATAACTGAACCAGACATACTTGTCCTACTCACTAAGTGCCGTGACTGCAAGGAGACATTGTTTTAGTGTGTTCTCAACACCGGGGTAAGCTGAATGTGAGATTTTTAGTGAGGATTCTATAACTATATGTCACACAGACCACAATTGTTTCTATTACACGAGGACTAATTCAATTAAACTGATCCCAGCAATAAAGTTCCTTCACGAGGCAAGGCTCTCGGCGGAGAATTTCTCACTGACAGCGCGTGCCAAGTCCGACGAGCTCTTTCTTGTCGCTTAACAGAGGATGCCAAACCACAAAATCATCAAAAGCTTTCAGTTACGTCTTCGCTTATATGAAGACGAAAATGGATTCCAACCCACCTTTCATTGAATCCCTCAGTCATAACACCATCTTCTGTAGCGTACGTGTTTCCATCCAATGTTCCCGAACCTCTCCCACTGTCAACACCATCCACGCGCTGACCCCCGGAAAAGGTCAAGGCCGCGTCAGGAATCGACCAGAGCGGCTGTCTTTGAGACAGCTGCTTTACAGTTAATCAATGGAATTGTGATCTCTTTCAGCATGAAATAAAAGCTGGAGAAAGCGCCAATATGCTTCATTTTATAATAAATCCAAACAATTAAGCATTTGAATATGTCATATTCCATTTAATTTCATGGCAATCTTCATGCTTCAATTTTACACTGAATACTGTATTTTTACAAACTGGAAGAACTATATATATTTGGATGATGAAAAAAATCTCGCTCTTGCTTTTTATGTTGTCAAATAATATGCGAGCACTAGTCAGTAAAAGTTTCAGCGACTCGTCAAATCTCGGCGTTACTGACTGGTGTTGATGTACGTGTCCGATATTTAACACACATAGGTGAAATACTCCAGGTTTAGAATGACAGATTTTAATGCTGTTTCTTTGTGCTGTGCGGTAAAAAAAAAATTATTTTAACTTTGGAATAATAGTCTGGTTTCAGTGAAAACGTACCGGTGAATTTCACTTTAAACAAAAAGGTAACTCGAATAAAGTGAAATTAAAATTGCGAATCCTCATAACTTTACCTTGCCAATTGAACATTTCAATCTCAGAATTTTATTCAACCTAGGATAAAAGTTGGTTAACAAACGATCATAGTTTCAAATCGCTATTATTGGTTTGTATTACAAAGGGGTATGCACATTAATTGAAACACCGAGAACAAGTAGGGATGTTCTATGTTAACGCTCATCACGTACCGCACGTGCATTTGTTTCACTGTTCCAACTACTGCGCTTACCCCCTTGTAATACAAACCAATAATAGTGATTTGAATCTATGATCATTTGTTAAACAACTTTTATCATAAGTTGAATAGAATTCTGAGATTCAAATGTGCAATTGGCAAGGTAAAGTTATGAGGACTCGCAATCTCCATTTCACTTTATTATAATCACTTTTTTGTTTAAAGTGAAATTCATCGGTACGTTTTCACTGCAAACAGACCATAAAGAGTCGTTTTGGAAATGTTTTGTTCTTGTACCCAGTACTCAGATATTATGTTGCCTCCTTAGAAACTAATCGCGATAGTGAATGAATTATGTACAAGTATAAAATATATCCCGCCCCTTGATTCAACTGCAAGTAGGAGCTAGAGTATGCCTACATCCCCATCTCCCGCCCCTTGATTCAACTGCAAGTAGCTAGAGTATGCCTACATCTCATGCCGCTTGATACAACTGCAAGTAGGCGAGTATGCCTACATCCCCATCTCCCGCCCCTTGATTCAACTGCAAGTAGGAGCTAGAGTATGCCTACATCTCATGCCGCTTGATACAGCTGCAAGTAGGAGAGTATGCCTACATCTCATGCCGCTTGATACAACTGCAAGTAGGTGAGTATGCCTACATCCCCATCTCTGGCCCCTTGATACAACTGCAAGTAGGAGAGTATGCCTACATCCCCATCTCCTGCCCCTTGATTGAACTGCAAGTAGGCGAGTATGCCTACATCCCCATCTCCTGCCCCTTGATTCAACTGCAAGTAGGCGAGTATGCCTACATCCCCATCTCCTGCCCCTTGATACAACTGAAAGTAGGCGAGTATGCCTACATCCCCATCTCCTGCCCTTGATTCAACTGAAAGTAGGCGAGTATGCCTACATCCCCATCTCCTGCCCCTTGATTCAACTGAAAGTAGGCGAGTATGCCTACATCCCCATTGATTCATCTGCAAGTAGGTGAGTATGCCTACATCCCCATTGATTCATCTGCAAGTAGGTGAGTATGCTAACATCCCCATCTCCTGCCCCTTGATTCAACTGCAAGTAGGCGAGTATGCCTACATCCCCATTGATTCATCTGCAAGTAGGTGAGTATGCCTACATCCCCATTGATTCATCTGCAAGTAGGTGAGTATGCTAACATCCCCATCTCCTCCCCATTGATTCAACTGAAAGTAGGCGAGTATGCCTACATCCCCATTGATTCATCTGCAAGTAGGTGAGTATGCCTACATCCCCATCTCCTGCCCCTTGATTGAACTGCATGTAGGAGAGGATGCCTACATCCCCATCTCCTGCCCCTTGATTCAACTGAAAGTAGGCGAGTATGCCTACATCCCCATTGATTCATCTGCAAGTAGGTGAGTATGCCTACATCCCCATTGATTCATCTGCAAGTAGGTGAGTATGCCTACATCCCCATCTCCTGCCCCTTGATTCAACTGCAAGTAGGCGAGTATGCGTACATCCCCATTGATTCATCTGCAAGTAGGTGAGTATGCCTACATCCCCATTGATTCATCTGCAAGTAGGTGAGTATGCTAACATCCCCATCTCCTCCCCATTGATTCAACTGAAAGTAGGCGAGTATGCCTACATCCCCATTGATTCATCTGCAAGTAGGTGAGTATGCCTACATCCCCATCTCCTGCCCCTTGATTGAACTGCATGTAGGAGAGGATGCCTACATCCCCATCTCCTGTCCCTTGATTTAACTGCAAGTAGGCGAGTATGCCTACATTCCCATCTCCTGCCCCTTGATACAAATGCAAGTAGGCGAATATGCCTACATCCCAATCTCCTATCCCTTGATTCAACTGCAAGTAGGAGAGTATGCCTACATCCCAATCTCTGGCCCCTTGATTCAACTGCAAGTAGGCGAGTATGCCTACATCCCCATCTCCCATCCCATTATTCAACTGCAAGTAGGCGAGTATGCCTACTCCCCCATCTCCTGCCCCTTGATTCAACTGCAAGTAGGCGAAGATGCCTACATCCCCATCTCTGGCCCCTTGATACAACTTCAAGTAGGTGGGTATGCCTACATCCCCATCTCTGGCCCTTTGATACAACTGCAAGTAGGTGAGTATGCCTACATCCCCATCTCCTGCCCCTTGATACAACTGCAAGTAGGTGGGTATGCCTACATCCCCATCTCTGGCCCCTTGATACAACTGCTAGTAGGTGAGTATGCCTACATCCATATCTCTGGCTCCTTGATACAACTGCAAGTAGGTGAGTGTGCCTACACCCCCATACATTTACATTTCAGGTCCAGCCTGTTTCAATTTTCCCTATTAACTACCAGAGCCTTGTTTTATAACCAGAGGAAAGATTTTACCGCTACTTCAGCAGATAATTGTAACTCGTTCAGTGAAAGACAACACGTATCACGTCTGGCACGCACAGGAGACAGACTAGCCTCACCCACAAAGTTCGTATTTGTTTTGGGCAACTGGGAATTTTGAATTAGACTAACTGTAGCTCGGATTGTATGGTTACAGGCTGGAACCTGTTTCGGAGACCGAGGTTCGAATCCCTCAGTCTTGACTTAGGGTCGTTACTGGTGCCTCTGGGTTCATAGCATGTTAGACCACTTTAAATGTATTGTATCATCCGCCATGGCGACATACGAGACACCTACAGCTGCTCCTCCACACACGGACTGTGGTAACAGGCGTACTCTAGTTCCTCTGCCCTGCAGGCGAGGGGTTTTACTCTAGTTCCTCTGCCCTGCAGGCGAGGGGGTTTTACTCTAGTTCCTCTGCCCTGCAGGCGAGGGGTTTTACTCTAGTTCCTCTACCCTGCAGGCGAGGGGTTTTACTCTAGTTCCTCTGCCCTGCAGGCGAGGGGTTTTACTCTAGTTCCTCTGCCCTGCAGGCGAGGGGCTTTTACTCTAGTTCCTCTGCCCTGCAGGCGAGGGGCTTTACTCTAGTTCCTCTGCCCTGCAGGCGAGGGGTTTTACTCTAGTTCCTCTGCCCTGCAGGAAGGGTTTTTACTCTAGTTCCTCTGCCCTGCAGGCGAGGGGTTTTACTCTAGTTCCTCTGCCCTGCAGGCGAGGGGTTTTACTCTAGTTCCTCTGCCCTGCAGGCGAGGGGTTTTACTCTAGTTCCTCTGCCCTGCAGGCGAGGGGTTTTACTCTAGTTCCTCTGCCCTGCAGGCGAGGGGTTTTACTCTAGTTCCTCTGCCCTGCAGGCGAGGGGTTTTACTAGTGTTCCTCTGCCCTGCAGGCGAGGGGTTTTACTCTAGTTCCTCTGCCCTGCAGGCGAGGGGTTTTACTAGTGTTCCTCTGCCCCGTAGGCGAGGGGTTTTACTCAAGTTCCTCTGCCTTGTAGGCGAGGGGTTTTACTCTAGTTCATGTGCCATGTAGGCATTGTATGAAATAAGCCAAAAATCCAGCCAAACATCAGGGCTGGTAACTTCAAAATTTCATTCACTGCAGTAGGTGAGCCGTTTTCCTCTAGTTCCTCTGCCCTGTAGGCAAAGGTTTCACTCTAGTTGCTCTCCTCTGTAGGCGAGGGGGTTTACTATAGTTCCTCTGCACTGTAGGCGAGAGTGTTACTCTAGTTTCTCTGCCCTGTAGGTGAGGCGTTTTACTTCAGTTCCTCTGCTCTGTAGGAGAGGGGTTGTACTCTAGTTCCCCTACCCTTTCAGCGAGGGTTTTTACTCTAGTTCCTCTGCCCTGTAGGCGAAGGTTTTACTCTAGTTCATCTGCCCTGTAGGCCAGGGGATTTACCCTAGTTCCTCTGCCCTGTAGGTGAGGGGTTTTACTCTAGTTCCTCTGCCCTGTAGGTGAGGGGTTTTACTCTAGTTCCTCTGCCCTGTAGGCCAGGGGATTTACCCTAGTTCCTCTGCCCTGTAGGTGAGGGGTTTTACTCTAGTTCCTCTACCCTGTAGGCGAGGGGTTTTACTAGAGTTCCTCTGCCCCGTAGGCTTGGGGTTTTACTCTAGTTCCTCTGCCCTGTAGGCGAGGGGCTTTACTAGTGTTCTTGTGCCCCGTTGGCTAGGGGTTTTATTCTAGTTCCTCTACCCAGTAGGCGAGGGTTTTACTAGTGTTCCTCTGCCCTGTAGGCGAGGGGTTTTACTCTAGTTCCTCTGCCCTGTAGGCGAGGGGTTTACTCTAGTTCCTCTGCCCTGTAGGTGAGGGGTTTTACTCTAGTTCCTATGCCCTGTAGGTTAGGGGTTTACTCTAGTTCCTCTGCCCTGTAGGCGAGGGGGTTTACTCTAGTTCCTCTGCCCTGTAGGTGGGGGTGGGGGGTGGGGGGTTTACTCTAGTTCCTCTGCCCCTGTAGGTGAGGAGTTTACTCTAGTTCCTCTGCCCTGTAGGCGAGGGGTTTTACTCTAGTTCCTCTGCCTTGTAGGCGAGGGGTTTTACTCTAGTTCATGTGCCATGTAGGCATTGTATGAAATAAGCCAAAAATCCAGCCAAACATCAGGGCTGGTAACTTCAAAATTTCATTCACTGCAGTAGGTGAGCCGTTTTCCTCTAGTTCCTCTGCCCTGTAGGCAAAGGTTTCACTTTAGTTGCTCTCCTCTGTAGGCGAGGGGGTTTACTATAGTTCCTCTGCACTGTAGGCGAGAGTGTTACTCTAGTTTCTCTGCCCTGTAGGTGAGGCGTTTTACTTCAGTTCCTCTGCTCTGTAGGAGAGGGGTTGTACTCTAGTTCCCCTACCCTTTCAGCGAGGGTTTTTACTCTAGTTCCTCTGCCCTGTAGGCGAAGGTTTTACTCTAGTTCATCTGCCCTGTAGGCCAGGGGATTTACCCTAGTTCCTCTGCCCTGTAGGTGAGGGGTTTTACTCTAGTTCCTCTGCCCTGTAGGTGAGGGGTTTTACTCTAGTTCCTCTGCCCTGTAGGCCAGGGGATTTACCCTAGTTCCTCTGCCCTGTAGGTGAGGGGTTTTACTCTAGTTCCTCTGCCCTGTAGAGCAATTTTACTCTACGGCCTCTGCCCTATAGGTGAGGCGTTTTACTCTAGTTCCTCTACCCTGTAGGCGAGGGGTTTTACTAGAGTTCCTCTGCCCCGTAGGCTTGGGGTTTTACTCTAGTTCCTCTGCCCTGTAGGCGAGGGGCTTTACTAGTGTTCTTGTGCCCCGTTGGCTAGGGGTTTTATTCTAGTTCCTCTACCCAGTAGGCGAGGGTTTTACTAGTGTTCCTCTGCCCTGTAGGCGAGGGGTTTTACTCTAGTTCCTCTGCCCTGTAGGTGAGGGGTTTTACTCTAGTTCCTCTGCCCTGTAGGTGAGGGGTTTTACTCTAGTTCCTCTGCCCTGTAGGCGAGGGGGTTTACTCTAGTTCCTCTGCCCTGTAGGTGGGGGTTTTACTCTAGTTCCTCTGCCCTGTAGGTGAGGAGTTTACTCTAGTTCCTCTGCCCTGTAGGTGAGGGGTTTACTCTAGTTCCTCTGCCCTGTAGGTGAGGGGTTTACTCTAGTTCCTCTGCCCTGTAGGTGAGGAGTTTACTCTAGTTCCTCTGCCCTGTAGGTGAGGAGTTTACTCTAGTTACTCTGCCCTGTTGGTGAGGGGTTTACTCTAGTTCCTCTGCCCTGTAGGTGGGGGGTTTTACTCTAGTTCCTCTACCCTGTAGGCGAGGGGTTTTACTAGAGTTCCTCTGCCCCGTAGGCTTGGGGTTTTACTCTAGTTCCTCTGCCCTGTAGGCGAGGGGCTTTACTAGTGTTCTTGTGCCCCGTTGGCTAGGGGTTTTATTCTAGTTCCTCTACCCAGTAGGCGAGGGTTTTACTAGTGTTCCTCTGCCCTGTAGGCGAGGGGTTTTACTCTAGTTCCTCTGCCCTGTAGGCGAGGGGGTTTACTCTAGTTCCTCTGCCCTGTAGGTGAGGGGTTTTACTCTAGTTCCTATGCCCTGTAGGTTAGGGGTTTACTCTAGTTCCTCTGCCCTGTAGGCGAGGGGTTTTACTCTAGTTCCTCTGTGCCCTGTAGGTGGGGTGGGGTGGGGGTGGGGGGTGGGGTGGGGTGGGGGTTTTACTCTAGTTCCTCTGCCCTGTAGGTGAGGAGTTTACTCTAGTTCCTCTGCCCTGTAGGTGAGGGGTTTTACTCTAGTTCCTCTGCCCTGTAGGTGAGGAGTTTACTCTAGTTCCTCTGCCCCTGTAGGTGAGGGAGTTTACTCTAGTTCCTCTGCCCTGTAGGTGAGGGGTTTTACTATAGTTCCTCTGCCCTGTAGGTGGGGGGTTTACTCTAGTTCCTCTGCCCTGTAGGTGAGGAGTTTTACTCTAGTTCCTCTGCCCTGTAGGTGGGGGTTTACTCTAGTTCCTCTGCCCTGTAGGTGAGGAGTTTACTCTAGTTCCTCTGCCCTGTAGGTGGGGGGTTTACTCTAGTTCCTCTGCCCTGTAGGTGAGGAGTTTACTCTAGTTCCTCTGCCCTGTAGGTGGGGGGTTTACTCTAGTTCCTCTGCCCTGTAGGTGAGGGGTTTACTCTAGTTCCTCTGCCCTGTAGGTGGGGGGTTTTACATACATTTCTACGGTGCTGAGGGTGTAGGTCGTGCAATTCTTGGAGCAGAATGTCAATGAGTGTCAGCTTGTTGTTGGAGAAAAGGTTTAGTTTCTTTCTTTAAAGTACTACATTAATTATACTTACAAACTCCGCAGCGCGCGCGCGTAGAAGTGGAAAACAGCTTTTGTTGTTGAATGGAAGGAGACGACACATGGCTATGTGGCTATCTAACAAGATGAAAACGAGTTGACTATTTCAATGAAGACATCTATGTCAATCAAGAGTGTGAACTACAAGAGCAGAACAATGACAGCCTATAGGGTGTTCGCGAGGCGTACTTCAGAATACCACTGGGAAATGCCGTAGAATCATGTTAACCATACCATGAACATGATGGGGTTCAGTGACCAACTGTCATAACTTCATTGTCAAATACAGCCGCCCAGGGTTTACAGTCCACATTTCCCTACTGCGGATGGTAATGTAATCTCACCCGCAGGTGATAGTGGCGGTGTTGTCCTTTACGACACAGAAACAGGGATAAAGGTTAAATACCGGTAAATGATGACTTGCAAATAACATGGATGGGAGTGTGAGTATTACAAAATTAACTGCATATAGAAGTTAGACACCGATGCGTCTGGGGGATATATTGATACAACACATATAGAAGTTAGACACCGATGTGTCTGGGGGATATATTGATACAACACATATAGAAGTTAGACACCGATGTGTCTGGGGGATATATTGATACAACACATATAGAAGTTAGACACCGATGTGTCTGGGGGATATATTGATACAACACATATAGAAGTTAGACACCGGTGTGTCTGGGGGATATATTGATACAACACATATAGAAGTTACACACCGATGTGTCTGGGGGATATATTGATACAACACATATAGAAGTTACACACCGATGTGTCTGGGGGATATATTGATACAACACATATAGAAGTTAGACACTGATGTGTCTGGGGTCTCGGGATATATTGATACAACACATATAGAAGTTAGACACTGATGTGTCTGGGGGATATATTGATACAACACATATAGAAGTTACACACCGATGTGTCTGGGGGATATATTGATACAACACATATAGAAGTTAGACACTGATGTGTCTGGGGTCTCGGGATATATTGATACAACACATATAGAAGTTAGACACTGATGTGTCTGGGGGATATATTGATACAACACATGTAGAAGTTACACACCGATGTGTCTGGGGGATATATTGATACAACACATATAGAAGTTAGACAACGATGTGTCTGGGGGATATATTGATACAACACATATAGAAGTTAGACACCGATGTGTCTGGGGGATATATTGATACAACACATATAGAAGTTAGACACTGATGTGTCTGGGGTCTCGGGATATATTGATACAACACATATAGAAGTTAGACACTGATGTGTCTGGGGTCTCGGGATATATTGATACAACACATATAGAAGTTGGACACCGATGTCTCTGGGGGATATATTGATACAACACATATAGAAGTTAGACACTGATGTGTTTGGGGTCTCGGGATATATTGATACAACACATGTAGAAGTTAGACACCGATGTGTCTGGGGGATATATTGATACAACACATATAGAAGTTGGACACCGATGTCTCTGGGGGATATATTGATACAACACATATAGAAGTTACACACTGATGTGTCTGGGGGATATATTGATACAACACATATAGAAGTTAGACACTGATATGTCTGGGGTCTCGGGATATATTGATACAACACATATAGAAGTTACACACCGATGTGTCTGGGGGATATATTGATACTACACATATAGAAGTTAGACTCCTTGTGAATCGAACAAACAGCAAAGAAATAGCACAGCATTACCAATTGTACAATAAAATAAACTAGGTTTAAAATAAATATAAATTATAAATGAAGTGCAATAACTGTACAACAGAGGGCGGCAGTACAATGCAAATGACATCAAAATTCAATAGCAGTAGTGAAAGCCACTAACGTTCATAAAACAAACAGCATTGAGAGTGGTCTCCCTTCCGTCTGTGAAGCTTCCAGGTCTTAATGTAGAGTCAGATGATAGTATCTTCCAGAAGGTCACATATCGCTGTTCCAGAAGAAGAATTACACTTATACCACAGAATCATCCAACGATACTTCTACATCACGGCTAGTTTGTCTGCGTTGGTTACTAATGCACTCCAGCAACTGATTATGTCATGTCACTACAACATTATTTGACTAGAAATTACTCAATAATATAACAGTCATTAACAAAAATGCAACTTTGGAGATATAAATTGACAAGACATTTAGCTAGGACGAATGGGTAGTTTCCATTCCTATGCTTTAAGGTCTTGTACAGATCATTAATGCAGTTAAAAACAGTTCCCCAATAATTTCAGGCTCCCCAATACACTTTGTGGTCGGTAACGTTAACATCGCACATGTTGGATTTAGAAATAACTCAGTTTCAATACAGTACACTTTGAGTGCTGCTGTTAAAGATAATGACACATCTATCCTCCTGTGACACATACAGTTTATGTCCGCAGACAAACAAGCCATATGGCTTCCCCGTTTCAAACTGTGACGTCAGCAGGTCTCTGACAAACTCCCCTGTTGCTGTCAGTAGTATCACCATCCGTGTCCCCGAGTCCGCCACCAGGATGTGTCCTGTGCTGGTAGTGGCGATACCTCGTGGTTCCCTGAGGCTCCTGGCTCCGGTACAGGTGAACACAACATCTCCATGTGGTGTGATACAGTAGACTGACCGAGTGTCTGACACCAGGATGTTGCCCTCGCCTGTGGTACACAGAAATCTCGGATCACGTATCAGGTTCTTCCCAGAGTTGAACTTTCTGACTGACCTGATCACAGTCCCCGATACATCCAGGACATCAACACAGGGAGGACTCACACAGCCTGCTGCCAGTGTGGAGGGACTCAAGGCTGTCAGGCATCTGTACTTCTTCTTTGTTGTGACACGGGACTGCAGAAAGAGATACGGTGTCACATCCACAATTACAATTTCATTGTGTGACCAGAAAGCCACTGCCACCTGCCTGTCGGCCAGTTTCGTCACAGTGTGCGGTCTACATGGGAGAGCAAGTTTACCCGGTTGACTTGTGTAACTGTTAGCGTAGAAGGATTTCAGACAGTTATTGTTAAAGTCCGTGACCACCAGTGTCTCTACACCGTCAACAACCAGGACAGTGACGTCAGCTGGATCCGGCTTCTTCACGTCTCCATCAACCCTGATGTCGACGGTCTGGTGGAACACCGGTCTGCTATGTACATCAAATGTGCTACTCTGTATTCTATCAAGCCGCACATCCACGACAGGTTCACCTAGGTTCTGCTGTATTCGACCCAGGTGTACGGCATTGTGTAATTTCCCCTCGTCTAGTTCACAAAGAAACAGAACTTGTGAATCACCTACGCTGTCTGAGAAACCAGCCCTGTCTGTTGATTCATTGAGAGCCCCTGACTGACACATCCGGTACATCTCAAACATGTCAGTCTCACTCCCAGACTTCAGCACCTGGCTGAGGTACTCTATGTGTTGTTGATACATCTGCATGTCTATTTCTCCTGACTTCATCTGCCCCTTCAGTTGTCCACACTGCTTCTCTGTCATCTCAACTAGCTCATCCAGCAGCTGTTTCTCCTTCTGTTTGATCACAGATATGACTTTCTGTGAGACCTGCTTGAGCTGTGACTCAGCTGTGTCTCTGTTGCGGCTGATCTCTTCAATCTGTGATCTGTGTTGTAGAAGTGATCTGCTCGCATCCTCAAAGCGTTGTGTGAACACCTCCTTCTTGTGTGACAGAACGGTTCTGATCTCCGCCATCATGGACTGAACGCTGGCCACAGAGTGACATTGACAGTGGTAGGCAGTGCAACACCTGAGACATATTGCCACATTACAGTCCCGACAGCAGAAATCTAAGTCTTCATTGTGTTCCTTGCACCTTGGTCTTTGTTGCCGTGTGGCCTTCACTGCTCCACCAAGGTCAGCAATCACGTGGTTTGATGTAGCAGGAAGGGAAGCATGCATCTTCACACATCTCTCACAGAGCTGGACGTCACAGTGTTGACAGAACGACGTGGCCGGATTTCTGTCTCCAAGGTCTTGGCAGGGAAGGCAGCAGTTTTCTGTATCTGAAGGAAACACAATCATATAGGTTAATTGATAAAGGCTATTCAACTGTAACATGTGGGGTAAGATGTGCACGACGTTCCAGAACTCCAGATGTGATTGATATCTCCATGGTGATGATATACCTGGAATCGTACAACAGACTCGCCTTAGCAGAAATTACGGAATTGTCTTAGTTTCTTTTTGTTCAGTTATGTATAATTTTCCTTTCACTTGTAGTTACTGGCCGCGGTCATACAGCTGTATTGCAGAATGTTAAACAACAAATGTATATCGTAGAGGCTGTTTAATTATTACTGGAACCTCACATCATCGCCATTACAATTCTGTTAGCCACAGGTCCACGAGTAAAGCCGACAGTTGTAGGATGCCTGGTCATTGGGTATATGCACAGTCACAATTCAGCGAGTGAAAACGGAAGTATGTGTTTGTGACTGCGTTTTCATTCAAATAAACGACTTCGACCTCGAAACTTAGTTATCAGGAAAATACAGCTTGGACAGAAGATATTCCCCCTTACCTTTCATTAACAACAGCCACCGTGCTAACCTGGAAAACAACCTAATACGTATGTCGCATTCCCTTGGGGGCATTTCTTGCTATTGACGTTTGATATTTTCTTAAACTGGGACGATGTTTTTGCTGGTGGACTAAAGTCCCCGAATTTCATCACAAGCTCTGTATCCCTGATCTATGCTGAGACGATCCTTAACGAACAATCCTTGGAAGGCCAATTCATACAAAATACTGTGAACAGTAACAGACTCATGATCATGATCTACACATAATGCGCTGGGGAAATGCCGGTGTCCTCAGAAGTCTGTTTGCCAGTGTCGAAATCAGACATTACACCTCAAAGTGTAACCAATCGTCTCTATTAACAAGCAACAACCATCATTTATTTTGCACGAGGAAAATGAAGTAATAGTGTGCGAGTTCAAACCCTCTAGTGCAAGAACATTTGTGTTGGTCAGGGTGTGTAGTTCGTCCATTAAATACCCTTGGGTGGAACACTGAATCATAGCACCTACAGCAACACGCGTGTGTCGGGAAACATTGTAGTGTGTTTGCTGTATGTCGGTCAATCATATTTGGCAACATGTGTCCGATAGAAATGGTCATTTTACGAAGTAATCGTACAGGTGTGAGCCACAGGCCTTCGTTTCGTTGCGAAGATAAAAGATTAAATATAAAAAAATTGAGATGCAAGAGGTCCTCCCTCGTAAGAAATAGCGAAAAGTGACAACAAACTAATGTCCGTTTGTTAAACAACTTTTTTTTTCGGGTGTCCAAAATTTCGTCTGTCGATTTCGTCATCCATTTGTGTCAAGACGGTTTAGTTGAGCGTCAAAATCGGAAATGGTAGGTGTTATGAGTGGTGCTCGATAGGCCAATCATCCATGATTATGTTTACATTAAGTTTAAATCGAGTGCATGCGATGGTAGCGTAGCGATCGGCAAAGCAGGCGGGTGGGGTACACCGAAGTGTCCGGCCTTGTCATGATGTATTATACTGTGAAGCATTTCGAGTCGGGGGTCATCTCAATTTTTGTATATTTAATCTTTAATCTACGCAAAGACACTCTGGTGTGAGCCCAGTGTTAAAGTACCAATGATGATGACAATTAATTTAACGAAACCTCTAATATATACAAAAGTGTACACTGATACTCGAAATATTCCCACGAAGTATCAGCCCTGGTATATAATGTTTGTGTGGGTACGAGCCTCGAGTTCAGAAGAGTTAATTTACTCGAGTATATACTGTATGTATATCCGGCAATGGCGGTATTCTAACAGAGCTAACCTCGCCCATTGAGTGACCATATATATACACAAGTTATTCCTCCATCTTCCTATTTACTTACCCAGAAAGGTATTTTCCCCATACGCTAGTGTGTCAAGGAGTCCCCGGATGAGGAAGCTGGGCTTGATCTGTCTTACCCACTCCTCCACTTGTCTATCAGGATAAGGAACTCGGGTCATCTGCCGACAGTAAGGGCACGGGATGGACTTGGCACTGATGGCATCTTGTCTGGTCTTCAGGAACTTCCCCAGACAGACCTTACAGAAGGTGTGGCCACAGGTCAAAGTGCAGGGGTCTTTGTATCTGTCTGTACATATTGAACAGGTCAAAAAGTTCTCATTCAGAGCCTCCAGCTTTCGGGCGGCTGCCATCTGAAACGCAGGATGAAATATTGTTTTTGTTCGTTCATGTGGTGCTATTCTTTTGTTTCACCTGCTGTGAGATTCCACGCCACACACAAACTGAGACAGGCTAAAATGCATGAATTTGCAAAAATCGTGAATTTATTCATCACTATCACATTGTGAGAAGGTGAGCAGGGGGGCACCCAACATCGTTCGCCTCAAACAATCCCCAGAAGAACATATAGTGCATCTTAATAAGGAAAAGCATCGGACACCATATTTGACATTGGCGACATCCAGTTTGGAATTGTTCTCCACATGTCCACTATAACAACCTTTGAAAGCCGTATTGTTTGTATCATCCCATCCTTTACAGATTTAAATACATGAATGCAGCACGGACGCCCTCTACACACAGCCCACACAGTGAATAAGTTTTCTCGAAAGAAACGCTGCCTAGTCGAACCCACCAAGACATTTTCGAGGAACATGCAGACTCCTCAACACTGCCGGCGTCTGTATTACCCACAGTGCTAGAAGGCTGTGGTCCTGGCTGCACTACCCCGAGTACTACCCCGGGTACTACCGCAATGTCCGTCAAGGAGGTACTAAACCCAAACTAAACTAAGATTGGTCTTCAGCAACTTGGTTGACACAACCCATTGTAGCCCAATGCGTAGATTGGTGCGCATGCTGTTGATCACTGGATTGCCTGGTTCAGACTCGATTATATCCAGCCCGCCGCCATATAGCTAGTAGAATATTGCTGAGTGCGGCGTTAAAGAGCAAACAAACAAACAAACAAACAAAACCAGACCTAAGGCACCAACACCTATGGGAACTCTTACAACTTGGTACAAGAGATGCAAGCGTGACGTTTCATAACGGCAAGGCGTCCATATTTGCTATGTTTTCCCTGAATGTTGTCAATCAAATTACTGTCAAAAGGGACAGAAAATTCAATTATATATAAATTAGATATAAAAAAGACAAGGTTAGGTTTGCTGACTTAGATACATCTCAGGCTGTATACAGGCCTGTCTATTGTCATTCCCCATGACGCCTCCTACATATTCCGGGCGTATCATGGATGGACCTCAACAAGGATGGTGAAGACGGTAATGAAAGGAACACGCCACGCCATCATGCCGCTTACGATGTTGGGTTTGTGCAAGCGCTCATTACATTAATTATAAATCAGGATTTAATATTTACATGTTGATGTAAAGTCACACATCAATTACGCGTGGCAAGTGACTGGTCCTGCTAAGGCACTTTGCTTGGGAGCAAATCTTTGTGTCTTTGACAGTTTTTGTAAGCGTCCAACTCTGAAGTCCAGATTTGACGAGGTCTACATTAGCATTCTCCTCGAGGATTGTCTTATTTATGAGCATTCTGGGATTTGTTTCTAAACTGCACACCTTAGGTCTGACCTACAGATCCCCCCTCTTCCATCTTGTCAGGTTTCAGATGAAGAATGTTGGATTTACCGAGTCCACAGGAAAGAAGAAGCTATTTTATTTTCAGAGATAACCTTGGCAATAAGGACATCCGTGTACAGGAGGTGATCGAGTAGGAGGTGTTGGAGATCTGTGCTGGAGACCTGGGTGAAAACTTTCCTCTTTGTTAGGTAAAACTACAAGGATTTAATAGGACCAGAACAATCACCTTGAAATATTTCTCGTCGACTACTTCCGAGGTCTGCACCCAGTTCCGAGGTCTGTCCTTGCGAATACATCTCAAGTTGAGTAAACCAGCAACTCATTCAAGACTTGACTAAGATAAATAATCGCTTAGTGATTTCAATACCTGCCAGGTATCTTCCCGTGAGGTACAGAATCATAGGTAGTCTATCCAACACAATGAGAGGGTATGATGGCTCGTTTTGCTTCTTTAATGATCCTGTTTTGAACCAACAATTGATCCTTCCCTTTCGCTCATTTCTGCTCCATGTAAATAATATCATGGAACAATACCTCTGAGATATCCTGTAAATATTCAGTTGGTTGGTTGCTGTTTAACGTCGCACGATGCAAATATTTCAGACATCTTATAGGGCAGGAGTTTTCCAAATCACCATCCTTTGGGAGTTTTAAGTATAGCTTGAGCTTTGCAGAACCAGGAGAATCCCCTGTACCCTTGAGAGAACAGTGCCAGTGCAGTAGTTACTTACTTTCAGGCTATCAGGAGGGGATTTTCATTTCTCATCAGTGCCTTTGCTTGCATCGAATTGCCTGAAACATATTTGAACAGTTTAGAACACGTGAACTGTTGGCGAATGTTCCGCCCCGTCAAATATGCATATATTAGCGTGGCCTTGTCTCAATGATGCTTCAATAATTTTCCATTGACTCGTGGAATGTCTACCCATCCTTTCTTCTTTCACATCCCGCAGCTATTTCATTATACGCGGTCCGGGCCGTTTTGCCTAGCTGTAATTTTGGGGCGCCGCCGTATTTGCAGCAACCGAGTTATTACCCCAGATGCCCGTAGTGTAGTGTTTACGTGTCTGCTACAGTTCTATTCCCAGTTGACCTGCATAGTCAGAGCATATACTGGATAATGTCTACAATGGGGAAGATAGACATTTCCGTTGTTGTATTCAGACATACATCCATACACACGACCGTGGGTAGAGCCCTCCTCCTAGCCTGGCTGACACAGCTAGGGCAGCTGTGCGTGGCGGTACACTCGACCTACACTCTACTGGTAGACACACGTATTGAACTTACCTCGCGTCTGGACAAGTGCCCCCGTCTCTCTATCCCGGGGATGTGTCACAACATATTACGTAATGCCCACCGGGGAAACAAAACAGCTGTACTTCAAACCGGCCATGGAAGTTATTTCAAAACGGTTACGGACGCCCTAATTCAAGATGTGTATTCGCTCGCTTGTGTACATCCGCTGAGTTCCATGTTACTTTTCACTGATAATTCGAAAACAAAAATATTCCTAGGCGGTGAAAACCTCAAAACCTCTTCCCAAAGCACATGTATTTCGTTTTGTTGGTTTGTTTTTTCGTAAAAAAAATTACATACCTGGAAATCGAATTACGAGTGAAATTATACCGACAAAACCATTGCGGTAGTGCAAAGCAGGGAGACAATACAACGTGTTGTAGATTATCCCTGTGTAAAGGGATCTCTGCTGAAAGTCTGCACAGTCGGTTATGTCGTACACATGAGTTTATGAATCACTACCAAATATTGATGAGCCCCAGGACGCCGTGAGATGTAGGTTTTTAAAATCATGGCCGTATATGTACATAGTCGGACGTACGTTTTTATATTCATGGCCGTAGATGTATATGTAGTCAGTGATATGTTTTCATCTTCATGAGCGTATCCATTTGTATATAGTCAGAGGTGGGATTTTATAGTCATGAGCGTATATGTATATAGTAAGACGTAGGTTTATATATTCATGGCCGAATATGTATATAGTCAGAGATAGATTTCTATATTCACGAGCGTTTATGTATATAGTGTGAGGTAGCTTCCTATATTCACAAGCGTTTATGTATATAGTGTGAGGTAGGTTTCTATATTCACGAGCGTTTATGTATATAGTCTGAGGTAGGTTTCTATATTCACGAGCGTTTAAGTATATAGTGTGAGGTAGGTTCCTATATTCACAAGCGTTTATGTATAGAGTGTGAGGTAGGTTTCTATATTCACGAGCGTTTATGTATATAGTGTGAGGTAGGTTTCTATATTCACGAGCGTTTATGTATATAGTGTGAGGTAGCTTCCTATATTCACGAGCGTTTATGTATATAGTCAGAGATAGATTTCTATATTCACGAGCGTTTATGTATATAGTGTGAGGTAGGTTTCTATATTCACGAGCGTTTATGTATATAGTGTGAGGTAGGTTTCTATATTCACGAGCGTTTTTGTATATAGTGTGAAGTAGGTTTCTATATTAACGAGCGTTTATGTATATAGTGTGAGGTAGGTTTCTATATTCACGAGCGTTTAAGTATATAGTGTGAGGTAGGTTTCTATATTCACGAGCGTTTATGTAAATAGTGTGAGGTAGGTTTCTATATTCACGAGCGTTTATGTATATAGTGTGAGGTAGGTTTCTATATTCACGAGCGTTTATGTATATAGTGTGAGGTAGGTTTCTATATTCACGAGCGTTTATGTATATAGTCAGAGATAGATTTCTATATTCACGAGCGTTTATGTATATAGTGTGAGGTAGGTTTCTATATTCACGAGCGTTTATGTATATAGTGTGAGGTAGGTTTCTATATTCACGAGCGTTTTTGTATATAGTGTGAAGTAGGTTTCTATATTAACGAGCGTTTATGTATATAGTGTGAGGTAGGTTTCTATATTCACGAGCGTTTAAGTATATAGTGTGAGGTAGGTTTCTATATTCACGAGCGTTTATGTAAATAGTGTGAGGTAGGTTTCTATATTCACGAGCGTTTATGTATATATAGTGTGAGGTAGGTTTCTATATTCACGAGCGTTTATGTATATAGTATGAGGTAGGTTTCTATATTCACGAGCGTCTATGTATATAATCTGACGTAGGTTTCTATATTCACGAGCGTTTATGTATATAGTGTGAGGTAGGTTTCTATATTCACGAGCGTGTATGTATATAGCCTGAGGTAGGTTTCTATATTCACGAGCGTTTATGTATATAGTGTGAGGTAGGTTTCTATATTCACGAGCGTTTATGTATCTAGTGTGAGGTAGGTTTCTATATTCACGAGCGTTTATGTATATAGTGTGAGGTAGGTTTCTATATTCACGAGCGTTTATGTATATAGTGTGAGGTAGGTATCTATATTCACGAGCGTCTATGTATATAGTGTGAGGTAGGTTTCTATATTCACGAGCGTTTTTGTATCTAGTGTGAAGTAGGTTTCTATATTCACGAGCGTTTATGTATATAGTGTGAGGTAGGTTTCTATATTCACGAGCGTTTATGTATATAGTATGAGGTAGGTTTCTATATTCACGAGCGTCTATGTATATAATCTGACGTAGGTTTCTATATTAACGAGCGTTTATGTATATAGTGTGAGGTAGGTTTCTATATTCACGAGCGTTTAAGTATATAGTGTGAGGTAGGTTTCTATATTCACGAGCGTTTATGTAAATAGTGTGAGGTAGGTTTCTATATTCACGAGCGTTTATGTATATAGTGTGAGGTAGGTTTCTATATTCACGAGCGTTTATGTATATAGTGTGAGGTAGGTTTCTATATTCACGAGCGTTTATGTATATAGTATGAGGTAGGTTTCTATATTCACGAGCGTCTATGTATATAATCTGACGTAGGTTTCTATATTCACGAGCGTTTATGTATATAGTGTGAGGTAGGTTTCTATATTCACGAGCGTGTATGTATATAGTGTGAGGTAGGTTTCTATATTCACGAGCGTTTATGTAAATAGTGTGAGGTAGGTTTCTATATTCACGAGCGTTTATGTATCTAGTGTGAGGTAGGTTTCTATATTCACGAGCGTTTATGTATATAGTGTGAGGTAGGTTTCTATATTCACGAGCGTTTATGTATATAGTGTGAGGTAGGTTTCTATATTCACGAGCGTTTATGTATATAGTCAGAGATAGATTTCTATATTCACGAGCGTTTAAGTATATAGTGTGAGGTAGGTTTCTATATTCACGAGCGTTTATGTATATAGTGTGAGGTAGGTTTCTATATTCACGAGCGTTTATGTATATAGTGTGAGGTAGGTTTCTATATTCACGAGCGTTTATGTATATAGTGTGAGGTAGGTTTCTATATTCACGAGCGTTTATGTATATAGCCAGAGGTAGACTTCTATATTCATGGCCGTATATGTATATAGCCAGAGGTAGACTTCTATATTCATGGCCGTATATGTATATAGCCAGAGGTAGACTTATATATTGATGGCCGTATATGTATATAGCCAGAGGTAGACATATATTCATGAACGTATGTGTATATTGTCCGAGGTAGGTTTATATATTGATGGCCGTATATGTAAATAGTGTGAGGTAGGTTTCTATATTCACGAGCGTTTATGTATATAGTGTGAGGTAGGTTTCTATATTCACGAGCGTTTATGTATATAGTATGAGGTAGGTTTCTATATTCACGAGCGTGTATGTATATAGCCTGAGGTAGGTTTCTATATTCACGAGCGTTTATGTATATAGTGTGAGGTAGGTTTCTATATTCACGAGCGTTTATGTATCTAGTGTGAGGTAGGTTTCTATATTCACGAGCGTTTATGTATATAGTGTGAGGTAGGTTTCTATATTCACGAGCGTTTATGTATCTATAGGTGTTTCTATATTCACGAGCGTTTATGTATATAGGTAGGTTTCTATATTCACGAGCGTTTAGCGTGTGAGGTATATCTATATTCACGAGCGTCTATGTATATAGTGAGGTAGGTTTCTATATTCACGAGCGTTTTTGTATGTATATAGTTTCTATATTCACGTTTATGTATATAGTGTGAGGTTTTCTATATTCACGTTTATGCGTTTATGTTTCTATATTCACGAGTCTATGATATAATCTGACGTAGGTTTCTATATTCACGAGCGTTTATGTATATAGTGTGAGGTAGGTTTCTATATTCACGTTTAGTGTGAGGTAGGTTTCTATATTCACGAGCGTTTATGTAAATATAGGTAGGTTTCTATATTCACGAGCGTTTATGTGATAGTGTGAGGTTTTCTATATTCACGAGCGTTTATGTATATAGTGTGAGGTAGGTTTCTATATTCACGAGCGTTTATGTATATAGTATGAGGTAGGTTTCTATATTCACGAGCGTCTATGTATATAATCTGACGTAGGTTTCTATATTCACGAGCGTTTATGTATATAGTGTGAGGTAGGTTTCTATATTCACGTATATAGTGTGTAAATAGTGGTGGGTTTCCTATATTCACGAGTAGGTTTCTATATTCACGAGCGTTTATGTATATAGTGTGAGGTAGGTTTCTATATTCACGAGCGTTTATGAGGTAGGTTTCTATATTCACGAGCGTTTATGTATATAGTGTGAGGTAGGTGTCTATATTCACGAGCGTTTATGTATATAGTGTGAGGTAGGTTTCTATATTCACGAGCGTTTCTGTATATAGTGTGAGGTAGGTTTCTATATTCACGAGCGTTTAAGTATATAGTGTGAGGTAGGTTTCTATATTCACGAGCGTTTATGTATATAGTGTGAGGTAGGTTTCTATATTCACGAGCGTTTATGTATATAGTGTGAGGTAGGTTTCTATATTCACGAGCGTTTATGTATATAGTGTGAGGTAGGTTTCTATATTCACGAGCGTTTATGTATATAGCTATATTCAGAGGTAGACTTCTATATTCATGGCCGTATATGTATATAGCCAGAGGTAGACTTCTATATTCATGGCCGTATATGTATATAGCCAGAGGTAGACTTATATATTGATGGCCGTATATGTATATAGCCAGAGGTAGACATATATTCATGAACGTATGTGTATATTGTCCGAGGTAGGTTTATATATTGATGGCCGTATATGTATATAGTGTGAGGTAGGTTTATATATCCATGGCCGTATATGTATATAGCCAGAGGTAGCTATTTACAGTGATGATGGCGTGTGCTTGTAGTTATGCTAGATGTAGCGTTAAAGCAACACAGTCTTTCAGAGTAATTATTATTTAGGTGTAAGTGTTGATTGTCTTGTCTAAGTGGAAAACCTGACATGTTCTCATCTCGCCTACATCCCAATTCGCCTACAGTCTTAAAACAACAGTTCATGGTCTGTTGACTGTTGATTACGCAATGGTAAACTAGTGGCACCCCTATGATCTAAAAGTGGACTCTTCTAGCTGAAGTAGTTGAAGGACAAAAATAAAATTTTTGAAGAATTTATTTCTGTTATTTGTCTGTTATTTATTTACTCTGTTATTTGTCATTTTCCGACCACGGTGATATTCACATCATATCACATCATATATAACATCATATCACATTAGTGTTAAGGACATTGACTTGTGCGGATGTCCATTCTCACTTCATCACGAGCACGTTGTCTCTGTCTGGTGAGTAGACTCATCTTCATTCATCAGAGGAGGGTGCCTGTGCTCTGTGACGGAAGATACGTGCTCGCCAATTGTACTGCATTAACCTTATAATTAATGTTATCTATGACGCACTTCCAGTGAGTATTTCATTATAACCTTGTTTGAGCTTCTTAGTGGATGCACCAATCCTCTTTACTCAACTACGTATCCTTATAACAACTGAGTATTTTACACTGAGAAATTAACTACATATCATCACTTTTTTAAAAATGTGTGTCGTTAAAAAGTAATTTAGAGATGAGTGAGGATAATTTGGAAGATTTACCTGATTAGTATGGCACTGACCAGTGAGTCAGGTTCATTATAAGAGTAGGGGTGCATTTTCTTATCCCAACATTGTTTTTGTATGCGAAATGGGAGGTAGGCGAATTGAGATGTAGGCGAATAGAGACTAAACCGAAAACCTTGTCTTGTATGTAGTGGACAGTAGTTCCGCGAGCATCGATGTATCAGGTCGATCGCTGATATATCGTGTTGTTATCCCCTGAGATAACACCTTCACTCCTGTGGGAATAGATGCTATCACAGGACGACGCCTGGAGCCACGCCCCTCCCGGCTCCACAGCGCAGATAGCCACCGTGTTATCAGCGCCGCGGCCATCACGGAAGCCGCCCTTGGCAGAGTAACTCTCTTGAAAACCCCGTGCAGGTAACTGAGTGTCAGTCTACCGGGCACTGGACACCTGAACCCAAGGTAAGATTTGTTTCAACTTGAAAATAGTCAAACACTTTCGAATTACATAATGTTTGTTGTTTTTTGAAATAAGAATGTTATCCCTATTGTTCTACCAGAGATACTAAACATCATAATTACAATACTGTAAGCTCGCGTTTTTCCTACAATAGTGTGTATGTTGTTTTACGTCGCTCTCGGCAATATTCTAGCTGCATGACGGCTGTATGTACGTAACCGAATGCTGGTAAGACAAATTAATGATGAATGACATATACAACTACCCATACAGTTGTCACTGAGTCTAACCACCCGTCCTATTACAACCAACACAGGTTGTGAAGGGTCAGTTCTGTACGTCATGTTTGTATTTATCCAGGGTCCTATTACAACCAACACAGGTTGTGAAGGGTCAGTTCTGTACGTCATGTATTTATCCAGGGTCCTATGTTTCTGTATTTGTATTTATCCAGGGTCCTATTACAACCAACACAGGTTGTGAAGGGTCAGTTCTGTACGTCATGTTTGTATTTATCCAGGGTCCTATTACAACCAACACAGGTTGTTAGGGGTCAGTTCTGTACGTCATGTTTGTATTTATCCAGGGTCCTATTACAACCAACACAGGTTGTGAAGGGTCAGTTCTGTACGTCATGTTTGTATTTATCCAGGGTCCTATTACAACCAACACAGGTTGTGAAGGGTCAGTTCTGTACGTCATGTTTGTATTTATCCAGGGTCCTATTACAACCAACCAACACGTCATGTTGTTATCCAGGGTCCTATTACAACCAACACAGGGTCAGTTCTGTACGTCATGTTTGTATTTATCCAGGGTCCTATTACAACCAACACAGGTTGTGAAGGGTCAGTTCTGTACGTCATGTTTGTATTTATCCAGGGTCCTATTACAACCAACACAGGTTGTGAAGGGTCAGTTCTGTACGTCATGTTTGTATTTATCCAGGGTCCTATTACAACCAACACAGGTTGTGAAGGGTCAGTTCTGTACGTCATGTTTGTATTTATCCAGGGTCCTATTACAACCAACACAGGTTGTTAGGGTCAGTTCTGTACGTCATGTTTGTATTTATCCAGGGTCCTATTACAACCAACACAGGTTGTGAAGGGTCAGTTCTGTACGTCATGTTTGTATTTATCCAGGGTCCTATTACAACACAGGTTGCACGGTTGTTAGGGGTCAGTTCTGTACGTCATGTTTGTATTTATCCAGGGTCCTATTACAACCTACACGGGTTGTTAGGGGTCAGTTCTGTACGTCATGTTTGTATTTATCCAGGGTCCTATTACAACCAACACAGGTTGTGAAGGGTCAGTTCTGTACGTCATGTTTGTATTTATCCAGGGTCCTATTACAACCAACACAGGTTGTGAAGGGTCAGTTCTGTACGTCATGTTTGTATTTATCCAGGGTCCTATTACAACCAACACAGGTTGTTAAGGGTCAGTTCTGTACGTCATGTTTGTATTTATCCAGGGTCCTATTACAACCAACACAGGTTGTTAGGGGTCAGTTCTGTACGTCATGTTTGTATTTATCCAGGGTCCTATTACACCCTACACGGGTTGTTAGGGGTCAGTTCTGTACGTCATGTTTGTATTTATCCAGGGTCCTATTACACCCTACACGGGTTGTTAGGGGTCAGTTCTGTACGTCATGTTTGTATTTATCCAGGGTCCTATTACACCCTACACGGGTTGTTAGGGGTCAGTTCTGTACGTCATGTTTGTATTTATCCAGTGTCCTATTACACCCTACACGGGTTGTTAGGGGTCAGTTCTGTACGTCATGTTTGTATTTATCCAGGGTCCTATTACACCCTACACGGGTTGTTAGGGGTCAGTTCTGTACGTCATGTTTGTATTTATCCAGGGTCCTATTACACCCTACACGGGTTGTTAGGGGTCAGTTCTGTACGTCATTTGTATTTATCCAGGGTCTACGTGTTTGTATTTACACCCTATTACACCGTACACAGTTTGTTAGGGGTCAGTTCTGTACGTCATGTTTGTATTTATCCAGTGTCCTATTACACCTTCACGGGTTGTTAGGGGTCAGTTCTGTACGTCATGTTTGTATTTATCCAGTGTCCTATTACACCCTACACGGGTTGTTAGGGGTCAGTTCTGTACGTCATGTTTGTATTTATCCAGTGTCCTATTACACCCTACACGGGTTGTTAGGTGTCAGTTCTGTACGTCATGTTTGTATTTATCCAGTGTCATATTTCACCCTACACAGGTTGTTAGGGGTCAGTTCTGTACGTCATGTTTGTATTTATCCAGTGTCATATTTCACCCTACACGGGTTGTTAGGGGTCAGTTCTGTACGTCATGTTTGTATTTATCCAGTGTCCTATTACACCCTACACAGGTTGTTAGGGGTCAGTTCTGTACGTCATGTTTGTATTTATCCAGGGTCCTATTACACCCTACACGGGTTGTAAGGGGTCAGTTCTGTACGTCATGTTTGTATTTATCCAGGGTCCTATTACACCCTACACGGGTTGTTAGGGGTCAGTTCTGTACGTCATGTTTGTATTTATCCAGGGTCCTATTACACCCTTCACGGGTTGTTAGGGGTCAGTTCTGTACGTCATGTTTGTATTTATCCAGTGTCCTATTACAACCAACACAAGTTGTGAAGGGTCAGTTCTGTACGTCATGTTTGTATTTATCCAGGGTCCTATTACACCCTTCACGGGTTGTTAGGGGTCAGTTCTGTACGTCATGTTTGTATTTATCCAGTGTCCTATTACAACCAACACAGGTTGCTAGGGGTCAGTTCTGTACGTCATGTTTGTATTTATCCAGTGTCTTATTACACCCTACACGGGTTGTTAGGGGTCAGTTCTGTACGCCATCTCTGTATTTATCCAGGGTCCTATTACAACCAACACAGGTTGTGAAGGGTCAGTTCTGTACGTCATGTTTGTATTTATCCAGGGTCCTATTACACCCTACACGGGTTGTTAGGGGTCAGTTCTGTACGTCATGTTTGTATTTATCCAGTGTCATATTTCACCCTACACAGGTTGTTAGGGGTCAGTTCTGTACGTCATGTTTGTATTTATCCAGTGTCGTATTACACCCTACACAGGTTGTGAAGGGTCAGTTCTGTACGTCATGTTTGTATTTATCTAGGGTCCTATTACACCCTACACAGGTTGTTAGGGGTCAGTTCTGTACGTCATCTCTGTATTTATCCAGGGTCCTATTACACCCTACACGGGTTGTTAGGGGTCAGTTCTTTACGTCATGTTTGTATTTATCCAGTGTCCTATTACACCCTACACGGGTTGTTAGGGGTCAGTTCTGTACGTCATGTTTGTATTTATCCAGTGTCCTATTACAACCAACACAGATTGTGAAGGGTCAGTTCTGTACGTCATGTTTGTATTTATCCAGGGTCCTATTACAACCAACACAGGTTGCTAGGGGTCAGTTCTGTACGTCATGTTTGTATTTATCCAGTGTCCTATTACACCCTATACGGGTTGTTAGGGGTCAGTTCTGTACGTCATCTCTGTATTTATCCAGGGTCCTATTACAACCAACACAGGTTGTGAAGGGTCAGTTCTGTACGTCATGTTTGTATTTATCCAGGGTCCTATTACACCCTACACGGGTTGTTAGGGGTCAGTTCTGTACGTCATGTTTGTATTTATCCATGGTCATATTGCACCCTACACGAGTTGTTAGGGGTCAGTTCTGTACGTCATCTCTGTATTTATCCAGGGTCTTATTACACCGTACACAGGTTGTTAGGGTTCAGTTCTGTACGTCATGTTTGTATCTATTCAGTGATGACGCACCTTCCGGCCACTTTTGCTGTGTTCGCGCTTTTCCTTGCTGGGATCACAGGTCATGGGCGGTTGATGGACCCGCCGCAGCGTTCCAGTATGTGGAGGGATGGTTTCAACACCCCCACCAACTACGACGACAACCAACTTAACTGTGGCGGATCCTATGTAAGTGAGGTTCTTCCTTATTGGGTACGACATCCAGGAGCCAAGTGATGCAGGTGATCGGTCGTCATTCAGTAGCTCCCTGTTCAAGTCTGCGCACAGAGAGTCGTCCACTCTCACCATTAAATACTCGCCTTTGATATTAGATATCGTGTGCATGACTAGATACACATAATTTATATCATGCATTTAACTCTCGATTGTTGAAAGTGTCTTTGTTTGTCTGGTATCGGGGCACGCCACGCTTGCTTCTACCAGCATCTTCCGACGATCTTCCCAGAATAGATCCGGGTTATGGCCAGACTCGACGTTCATGATTTTCATCACGAGATTATCTGGTCGACAAGCAATTGTGTATTTAAAGCGGGAAGGCGATTAACAACAAACACTCACCACTTCCTATCAAACACATGATCAGCCCCTCCTCAACAGAGACCCTCCCACTCAACAGAGTCCCTCCTACTCAACAAAGCTCTTCCCACTCAACATAGCTCTTCCCACTCAACGAAGTCTCTCCCACTCAACAGAGTCCCTCCCACTCAACAGAGTCCCTCCCACTCAACAGAGTCGCTCCCACTCAACAGTCCCTCCCACTCAACAAAGCCCTTCCCACTCAACAAAGATCTTCCCACTCAACAGAGTCCCTCCCACTCAACAGAGTCCCTCCCACTCAACAGAGTCCCTCCCTCTCAACAAAGCCCTTCCCACTCAACAAAGATCTTCCCACTCAACAGAGTCCCTCCCACTCAACAGAGACCCTCCCACTCAACAGAGTCCCTCCCTCTCAACAAAGCCCTTACCTCTCAACACAGCTCTTCCCACTCAACAGAGTCCCTCCCACTCAACGAAGTCCCTCCCACTCAACGAAGTCCCCTCCACTCAACAGAGTTCCTCCCACTCAACAAAGCCCGACCCACTCAACAAAGCTCTTCCCACTCAACAAAGCTCTTCCCAATCAACGAAGTCCCTCCCACTCAACAGAGTCCCTCCCACTCAACAAAGCCCTTCCCACTCAACAGAGTCCCTCCCACTCAACAAAGCCCTTCCCACTCAACAAAATCTCTCCCACTCAAGAGTCCCTCCCACTCAGCAAAATCCCTCCCACTCAACAAAGATCTTCCCACTCAACAAAGTTCTTCCTACTCAACGAAGTCTCTCCCACTCAACAGAGTCCCTCCCACTCAACAAAGCTCTTCCCACTCAACAGAGTCGCTCCCACTCAACAATCCCTCACACTCAACAAAGTCCCTCCCACTCAACGAAGTCCCTCCCACTCAACAGAGTCCCTCCCACTCATCGAAGTCCCTCCCACTCAACAAAGCCCTTCCCACTCAACAAAGCTCTTCTCACTCAACGAACCCCTTCCCACTCAACAAAATCCCCCACACACACTCAACAAAGCTCTTCCCACTCAACAGAGACCCTCCCACTCAACAGAGTTCCTTCCACTCAACAAAGATCTTCCCACTCAACAAAGCTCTTCCCACTCAACAGAATCCCTTCCACTCAACAAAGCTCTTCCCACTCAACAGAGTCCCTCCCACTCAACAAAGCTCTTCCCACTCAACAGAGTCCCTCCCACTCAACAAAGCTCTTCCCACTCAACAGAGTCCCTCCCACTCAACAAAGCTCTTCCCACTCAACAGAGTCCCTCCCACTCAACAAAGATCTTCCCACTCAACAGAGTCCCTCCCACTCAACAGAGTCCCTCCCACTCAACAGAGACCCTCCCACTCAACAGAGTCCCTCCCTCTCAACAAAGCCCTTACCTCTCAACACAGCTCTTCCCACTCAACAGAGTCCCTCCCACTCAACGAAGTCCCCACTCAACGAAGTCCCCTCCACTCAACAGAGTTCCTCCCTCTCAACAAAGCCCGACCCACTCAACAAAGCTCTTCCCACTCAACAAAGCTCTTCCCAATCAACGAAGTCCCTCCCACTCAACAGAGTCCCTCCCACTCAACAAAGCCCTTCCCACTCAACAGAGTCCCTCCCACTCAACAAAGCCCTTCCCACTCAACAAAATCTCTCCCACTCAAGAGAGTCCCTCCCACTCAGCAAAATCCCTCCCACTCAACAGAGTCCCTCCCACTCAACAAAGCCCTTCCCACTCAACAAAGCCCTTCCCACTCAACAAAGCCCTTCCCACTCAGCAAAATCCCTTCCACTCAACAAAGCTCTTCCCACTCAACAGAGACCCTCCCACCCAACAGAGTTCCTTCCACTCAACAAAGATCTTCCCACTCAACAAAGCTCTTCCCACTCAACAGAATCCCTTCCACTCAACAAAGCTCTTCCCACTCAACAGAGTCCCTCCCACTCAACAAAGCTCTTCCCACTCAACAGAGTCCCTCCCACTCAACAAAGCTCTTCCCACTCAACAGAGTCCCTCCCACTCAACAGAGTCCCTCCCACTCAACAGAGTCCCTCCCTCTCAACAAAGCCCTTACCTCTCAACACAGCTCTTCCCACTCAACAGAGTCCCTCCCACTCAACGAAGTCCCTCCCACTCAACGAAGTCCCTCCCACTCAACGAAGTCCCTCCCACTCAACGAAGTCCCTTCCACTCAACAGAGTTCCTCCCACTCAACAAAGCCCGACCCACTCAACAAAGCTCTTCCCACTCAACAAAGCTTTTCCCAATCAACGAAGTCCCTCCCACTCAACAGAGTCCCTCCCACTCAACAAAGCCCTTCCCACTCAACAGAGTCCCTCCCACTCAACAAAGCCCTTCCCACTCAACAAAATCTCTCCCACTCAAGAGAGTCCCTCCCACTCAGCAAAATCCCTCCCACTCAACAGAGTCCCTCCCACTCAACAAAGCCCTTCCCACTCAGCAAAATCCCTCCCACTCAACAAAGCTCTTCCCACTCAACAGAGTCCCTCCCACTCACCAGAGTCCTCCCACTCAACAGAGTCCCTCCCACTCAACAACGCCCTTCCCACTCAACGAAGCCCCTCCCACTCAACAGAGTCTTCCCACTCAACAAAGCCCTTCCCACTCAACACAGTCCCTTTCACTCAACAAAGCTCGAACGGCCCACCTACATCCTCTTTGTTCTCAGACGGAGTCCCCCCTTTGTTACAGCATCAGTGGTCAACTGGACTGGGTGGCAAGTGCGGCGCCTGTGGTGACCCTTACGACGCACAACAACGTAACAACGAACCTGGCGGAAGGTACTACAGTGACATCATCAGCCGCGTCTACTACCCAGGTGACAACATCACCATCAATGTACTCATCACATCTAATCACAGAGGCTATTTTGAATTCAGATTATGTGACAATGGTCTTTTGGCTGGGGACGCTCTTCTGGAGTGTCTCAACAAAACGTTGTTGACTCTTGACCCGAGTGACCCAGAGGTTCAAGCAGCGACCATTGGTGGCCCGCTGGTGCGTTACTCTCCTGGAAGTGAAACCAGGATGTTTTACGTGAAGGCCAGCCTACCGGCGGAAGTGACATGTGATTTTTGTGTGCTGCAATGGACGTACGTCACAGGTATGTACGTCATAACACGTCACGTGGTCAGTGTTTCATTTGCTGCTCACTGGAGTGCTCCGACAATAGAAGGTCACTTATATGTGTATATTAAATTTTAATGTCGACTTGCTCATAATTGAGATTAATTGAGAATAAACGTATATCGTTTTAGCTGTATCGTTACTATAATGCTTGCAATTATCCTTTTGTGACGTTGCCAGGAAACACGTGGGGTACAGATGCTGACGGTACAGGGTTAGGCCACGGTCCTCAGGAGCACTTCATTAACTGCGCCAACATCCAGATCACGACCAACACATCCTACACAACATTAACGCCAAAATCTACATCGACGACAACGGCATCAAGTACATCATTATCATCAACAACCACCACCACCACAACAACAACAACGTTGTCATCATCTACAGCAACGTCACAACCTGGGAGTGGGTGTCGTGCTGTCGGTGTCTGGAGAACCGTGGCGGGCATGAACGCCTGGTGTGCCCTGCTTTGCCCCAAAGGCATATGTCCAAAAAGAACTGTGTCGCTGTAGCTGAACACCTCGCCCAGCAGGACCTGAACACCCTGCCAGGCGGTAGGACACATACCCTCTCGGTCGAATCTGAACACCTCCCCTAACTGAACCTGGACACCTCTCTTTTGAATCTGAACACCTGCTGCAGCTGAATCTGGACACCTGCTGCAGCTGAATCTGGACACCTGTTGCAGCTGAATCTGAACACCTGCTGCAGCTGAATCTGAACACCTCATGCAGCTGAATATGGACACCTCCTGCAGCTGAATCTGGACACCTGCTGCAGCTGAATTTGGACACTTGCTGCAGCTGAATCTGAACATTTCTCTTTTTTTAAATCTGAATACCTCTTACAGTTTTACATAAACATAATATCTCAGCTGGACACACTCGGTCAGTAGAACCCGGTCGAACATTGTTGGGTCAGTACGTATCTGTGGTGGTGGGGACAGAGGTTATGTGAGTTTGACTCTCCAGATGGACACATGTTGTGAAGTCATTTCTTGATGCTCGTTGCTCGTCATTTCTAAAGACCCAATCACTTACATAATTTACATAATGTTCATTTGATATTTCTATCGACAAAACTTACAATCGGTGTTAAATATGCCACAGTGTAAATAAAGTATTTTCATGAAGTCAGTGTTAATTTGTGCCAGAGTAACGACTTTGGTTGCCATCCCTCTGTTGCCGGCTTCAGACAGCATGAATGAATGGGTGTGTTAGATGTCACACCGCTTAGAACAAACGCAGAAATAGAATAAAGAATTCTGGGATCCGAACCCCCAATCCCCTGCTTCTGGTGTGCCGCAGTGACTCAGCTCTGCACAGCGTTGCTACCCAGAAATAACCAAAGCTTGTCTTAATGTCTTGTGTCTGGTGTGCCGCAGTGACTCAGCTCTGCACAGCGTTGCTACCCAGAAATAACCAAAGCTTGTCTTAATGTCTTGTGTCTGGTGTGCCGCAGTGACTCAGCTCTGCACAGCGTTGCTACCCAGAAATAACCAAAGCTTGTCTTAATATCTTGTGTCTGGTGTGCCGCAGTGACTCAGCTCTGCACAGCGTTGCTACCCAGAAATAACCAAAGCTTGTCTTAATATCTTGTGTCTGGCTGTCCTGATCAACTACCACTGTGAATTCTAGGGAGGGCCCCACTAAGATATCCACATCGTAATGTCCCTGATTTGTCCCAGACTGGGATGTTATCACCTGTGACTAAAAACACAGAAAGGACGTAAACTTGAATGTTCATTTATGTGCAGGAATTACAAAACATTAATGACATGTTTTGGATTGACACCCTGGAGGTAACAGTGCCCCTCATAACCAAGGATGAGACGTTTATCGACAGCTATATACATATAGACATGCGACCCTATATCTTCATCGCCCTTACCATACGACAGAAACCACTGTGGGTGGAGGAGGGTCTGTGCAAAACATATGTTCTTTATTACTAGTGGACATATTTTTGTCACCATGGTAATCCTGCCTCACTGGACATGAACATACACGATCATGTTAACGATACATACTCACGAGCCCCGTGCAGGCTCGGTAACTAGAGTATATAAAGACTAGTACTCCTTTCAGAAGTCGACAGCCAGATGCAGTTTGCCTCCAGGACAAAGAATTCGTATGTTCACTCCAGCATAAAAGCATAAAAAGTGTGTAAACCCAACACCTTCTCACTGTGTTAATACATTTCCAGCAACTTCGGCGTTTTGAAATGGACGATACAACTTACACCCAGTCAGAAGGTTTCGTCTCCATGATTAACAAAGATTTTTGTATAATGTCCATTTGTCCCTTGATGTTGTCCAATGTGTTGCTCATCTCTGCCAGCTGAGTAGCGAATCTCGCACCTCGAACATCCAGGTTTTCCAGCGTGGCCTCGAGACTTGGCGAGTCCCCCGACCGCTTGCCGTACCGCGCCTCTTCAGCCGGCACTTCAATGTACCAGACATACTTCTGATCCAGAGATTTTGGAAACATGTTACCGTACTTGACCACCGTCGTCCCCCATCTGGGCGTCAGCTGTCTCAGAATCCTTTCCGTCTTTATTCCAAATTTGACAGCTTCAAGTTTCCACAGGTTGGAGTGGTGCTTGAGTATTTGTGAGTAGGATGTGTTCATCATGGCGATGAGGAGGTTGATGAGTATGATCGCCGACAGCACGATGTACACGATGTACACGAGTCTGCAAAACACACTCAGCACCAGGTTCTCATTCAGACCTTGTTCTAGGTCGTCATTAAACATCTCCACGCCCCCCAGCATGGTGTTGAACATCATGAAGATGGTGAAGAAGGGGTTCCTGTAGATGCTGGTGATGATGGGGGAGCCCATGAAGAGGATGTGCATCGCCATAGAGAACCCAATAAGAATAATGACGTACACCAGGATGAGTTTCCTTACGTCGGTGTAGATGATCCTCAACGTGGCCTGGAAGAAGAAGTGAGCAGATTTTATTCCCTTGACCAAGGTGAAGGTCATGAGCCAGCCGTACAGCAGGGTGAAGGATATGAGGATGTTCCTGTCAAAGAAGTTGTTGGTGCTTGTCCGTGGGCTCAGACTGGCGATGCTGAGACTAAGTAAAATAATGTAGATGATTAGGTTGTTAATCCTGAAGAAGATCCTCACATAGTAACTGCTGTGTCGATCTTCATCCGACCGCGTGATCACAGACTTTACCACGTGACTGACCACATACACAGTCAGACAGACCGGCTCAGTGATCCCGATCACAAACACTTCCGTCGCCGTCTCTGGATGCGTTGAGTTCCTCTGCATCATGGACTCCAAGACGTCCCAACACCCGTGACTAAACAGCGCCATGTACAGGACATGCAGAAATGCTATAAATATGTGGATCTTTGTTGAAACTGATATGTAAATATTTGCTATCTCTTTGAATGGTTGCATTTCAAGGACTTCAGTCACTCGTTTCTCTTCCTTGGATTTATTGAGCAAAAGCTCAAACCTAGAATCGTCTTTATGTGGAATTCCAAAAATACTATGCAAGAATCCGGTTTGCCCTTTGTGGAGAGTCTTTGGGCAGATGTGAGAGACCTGATAACGACACCTCCCACTGGAATCTTTGACATACGTAACCCCTGTCATCTTGAGGAGCTTCTGCATGACCTCAACAGACACGAGGTCAAAGGCCAAATCCCACACTGACCTCTCGTCTTGCTCGCTAACCTTGACCGTCATGGTGAGGTACTCCATGGCTTTACATTTGTAGATTCTGTAGCTGTCACGGTCGTCCTCAGGAACATCTATCGACTGTTTCCTGCACCACCACGCCACACAACGTGCTTCTATCTCGTCGAACAGTTTCATGTAGACGTCAGTCTGTTCCGGGTGGGTCACGGTAGCTCGGGTTATACAGTGGAGTAGCGTCCCTTGCGTTCCACTCCTCAGCTCCAGATTCAGTGACTCGGAATCCGAGCTTCCTTCGTCAATCAGACCATACAGGAGTTTCTTCACGTCATTATTGAGATCGAGGTTCTTTGCTAGGCGAGGTTTATCAACGGACGTAGTGTTTAATTTCTGTTTGGGCGGTTCCATTGTCTCATTGAATAAACTGAAACACATAAATAGTAAATGTCAGTAAGAAATACAACCATCGCGTAAACACATAATTAATCATGAATACACAATGCCATTTAGAAAGTGGTCAATGTAACAGGTTATATTTGGGATTACACTTTGTCAGTAAAGTACAGATTCTAGTACTTTTGCTTCACAGCTTTCGGCCGTATGAGCCGTCCAATTCTTGTCACTTCACTTCCACCGATCAGAGGGGTACACAAAGTCTATGGTTAAGACTACCAGTTGGCAGACTTCCATTTTCGTGGAAGCCGCGATGGCTGAATGGGTGTGCTTGCGATCCTGACTCTGAGAGTGAGTTCGAATCCTGGATGGGACTCAACCAAAATAAAGTACTAAAATTTGTACTTTACTGACAAAATGTAATCTCGTATATAAACATGTGTTACATAATAAGTCCATATAAATAATTCATTAAAATACCCTTGAATAAATACTGATATTATCTTTGTTTGTAGTTTAGTTGTAATATGACAACGTTCTGTAAATCATCAAGTCTGGACTAGCCATCATGAACATCGATCTACACAGCTGGTGTACCATGACCTACGTCAGTCAAATCAGCAAGCCTGAACCAAACGATCTGATTAGTTGCCTTACACACACACACAAAACACTTTTTTGCTGAACACCTCCGCTATCAGGGAGATTACTGTTTGGCCTGGATACAGAATGCCCATTAGAAGTGGTCAAATGTAACAAATGTTATATTTGGGACATCCACTTAGTATAAGTTTGGCCCTATTACTTATCAGAATATTTGCATCTGATCTGCCAGATCAGACACTACTGCAGCAGAAGATGTTCTACATAAACACTGACATTGTTTTGACGTAATACCGCAGTAATTAAACATTCACATTATGCTATCGTAATACCGCAGTAATTAAACATTGACATTATGCTATGGTAATACCACAGTAATAAAACACTGACATTGTGCTATCGTAATACCGCATTAATTAAACACTGACATTCTGCTATCGTAATACCACAGAAACTAAACATTGACATTATGCTATCGTAATACCGCAGTAATTAAACACTGACATTGTGCTGTCGTAATACCGCAGTAATTAAACATTGACATTGTGCTATCATATACTGCAGTAATTAAACATTGACATTGTGCTATCGTAATACCGCAATAATTAAACACTGACATTGTGCCATTGTAATACCTCAGTAATTAAACATTGACATTGTGCTATCGTAATACCGCAGTAATTAAACATTGACATTATACTATCGTAATACCGCAGTAATTAAACACTGACATTATGCTATCGTCATACTGCACTAATAAAACATTGACATTGTGCTATCGTAATGCCGCATTAATTGAACATTGACATTGTGCTATCGTAATACCGCAGTAATTAAACACTGACATTGTGCTATCGTAATACCGCAGTAATCAAAAATTGACATTCTCCTATCATAATACCGCAGTAATTAAACATTGACATTTTGCTACCGTAATACCGCAGTAATTAAACATTCACATTATGCTATCGTAATACCGCAGTAATTAAACATTGACATTATGCTATGGTAATACCACAGTAATAAAACACTGACATTATGCTATCGTAATACCTCAGTAATTAAACACTGACATTTGGCTATCATAATACCGCAGTAATTAAACACTGACATTGTGCTATTGTAATGCCGGAATAATTAAACACTGACATTGTGCTATCGCAATACCGCAGTGATTAATCAATGACATTGTGCTATCGTAATACCGCAGTAATTAAACACTGACATTGTGTTATCGTAATACCACAGTAATTAAACACTGACATTGAGCTATCGTAATACCGCAGTAATTAAACACTGACATTGTGCTATCATAATACCGCAATAATTAAACACTGACATTGTGCCATTGTAATACCTCAGTAATTAAACATGGGCATTATGTTATCGTAATACCGCAGTAATAAAACATTGACATTGTGCTATCGTAATATCGCAGCAATTAAACATTTACATTATGCTATTGTAATACCGCAGTAATTAAACATTGACATTATGCTATCGTAATACCTCAGTAATTAAACATTGACATTATGCTATCGTAATACCGCAGTAATTAAACATTGACATTATGCTATGGTAATACCACAGTAATAAAACACTGACATTGTGCTACCGTAATACCGCATTAATTAAACACTGACATTCTGCTATCGTAATACCACAGTAATTAAACATTGACATTATGCTATCGTAATACCTCAGTAATTAAACACTGACATTGTGCTGTCGTAATACCTCAGTAATTAAACATTGACATTGTGCTATCATATACTGCAGTAATTAAACATTGACATTGTGCTATCGTAATACCGCAGTAATTAAACATTGACATTATGCTATGGTAATACCTCAGTAATTAAACATTGACATTATGCTATGGTAATACCGCAGTAATTAAACATTGACATTATACTATCGTAATACCGCAGTAATTTAACACTGACATCGTGCTATCGTAATACTGCACTAATAAAACATTGACATTGTGCTATCGTAATGCCGCATTAATTGAAGATTGACATTGTGCTATGGTAATACCTCAGTAATTAAACATTGACATTATGCTATCGTAATACCGCAGTAATTAAACATTGACATTATACTATCGTAATACCGCAGTAATTTAACACTGACATCGTGCTATCGTAATACTGCACTAATAAAACATTGACATTGTGCTATCGTAATGCCGCATTAATTGAACATTGACATTGTGCTATCGTAATACCGCAGTAATTAAACACTGACATTGTGCTATCGTAATACCGCAGTAATCAAAAATTGACATTCTCCTATCATAATACCGCAGTAATTAAACATTGACATTTTGCTACCGTTATACCACAGGAATTAAACATTGACATTGTGCTATCGTTGTACGGCAGTGATTAAACACTGACATTGTGCTATTGTATACCGCAGTAATTAAACATTCACATTGTGCTATCGTAATACCGCAGTAATTAAACATTGACATTATGCTATGGTAATACCACAGTAATAAAACACTGACATTGTGCTACCGTAATACCGCATTAATTAAACACTGACATTATGCTATCATAATACAGCAGTAATTAAACACTGACATTGTGCTATCGTAATGCCGGAATAATTAAACATTGACATTGTGCTATCGTAATACCGCAGTGATTAATCAATGACATTGTGCTATCGTATACCACAGTAATTAAACACTGACATTGTGCTATCGTAATACCACAGTAATTAAACACTGACATTGTGCTATCGTATACCGCAGTAATTAAACACTGACATTGAGCTATCGTAATACCGCAGTAATTAAACACTGACATTGTGCTATCGTATACCGCAGTAATTAAACACTGACATTGAGCTATCGTAATACCGCAGTAATTAAACACTGACATTGTGTTATCGTAATACCGCAGCAATTAAACACTGACATTGTGCCATTGTAATACCTCAGTAATTAAACATGGGCATTATGCTATCGTAATACTGCACTAATAAACATTGACATTGTGCTATCGTAATACCTCAGTAATTAAACATTGACATTATGCTATCGTATACCGCAGTAATTAAACATTGACATTATGCTATCGTAATACCGCAGTAATTAAACATTGACATTATGCTATCGTAATACCGCAGCAATTAAACATTCACATTATGCTATCGTAATACCTCAGTAATTAAACATTGACATTGTGCTATCGTAATACCTCAGTAATTAAACATTGACATTGTGCTATCGTAATACCGCAGTAATTAAACACTGACCATTGCTGGCACAAAAAGTGTAACAAACTTCGCTCACCTTGCTGGTCGACAGCATCACCCTCTGTGTATTGTGAGACTGACCCACTTGCGGAGAATGGAAAGATGTTTAGTTGGCGGCCGCATGTTGCAGTCCTTACGTCGTTACTGTTGCCGCCCTTTGTGTGTTGAGAATAGGCGAGATCGGTGTATAGAACTCTGCAGCTTTATATACAAGTTATTGTGGTTTCACGTGTACTGGGACAAGAAATGGGGGAATTAGTTCAGCGAGGCAGTGCATTCATCTGTTTGGGAAGTGGGGTTTAACTTGGGAATCAATACCATTGCACTCACACAACCACGTGCATGAGCGCGTGACCGGGTGTACTAAACTGGACGAATTGTGTACAGTACAGATACGGAGCTCGATCAGACGAATCCCTTTTTGTTGCTTCAACACTGAGCGCAAGGGAGGGCAACAGCAAGTAAAAATTTTAAAGCCTGCTGGAACCATTTTAGGCAGACGCTCTATCCACTATACAACAGAGGCAGTGTCCAGGCAGACGCTCTATCCACTATACAACAGAGGCAGTGTCCAGGCAGACGCTCTATCCACTATACAACAGAGGCAGTGTCCAGGTAGACGCTCTATCCACTATACAACAGAGGCAGTGTCCAGGCAGACGCTCTATCCACTATACAACAGAGGCAGTGTCCAGGCAGACGCTCTATCCACTATACAACAGAGGCAGTGTCCAGGCAGACGCTCTATCCACTATACAACAGAGGCAGTGTCCAGGCAGACGCTCTATCCACTATACAACAGAGGCAGTGTCCAGGCAGACGCTCTATCCACTATACAACAGAGGCAGTGTCCAGGCAGACGCTCTATCCACTATACAACGGAGGCAGTGTCCAGGCAGACGCTCTTATCCACTATACAACAGAGGCAGTGTCCAGGCAGACGCTCTATCCACTATACAACAGAGGCAGTGTTCAGGCAGACGCTCTATCCACTATACAACGGAGGCAGTGTCCAGGCAGACGCTCTATCCACTATACAACAGAGGCAGTGTCCAGGCAGACGCTCTATCCACTAAACAACAGAGGCAGTGTCCAGGCAGACGCTCTATCCACTATACAACAGAGGCAGTGTCCAGGCAGAC